ATACCAGGTGATGCAGCAACAAGTGCTGTGTGGTGATGGGGAATTGGAAGGGTTGATGATGGCAGAAAGCAGTTCACCAATATTATAGCTCTCTGGTATGTGTGTGTGTGAATGTGTATACGTATGTGTGTTTCTCTCTTTCTTCATTCCTTAAGTGAGGATGACTTCTTGTGGGCTGCCACTGGGGAGAGTGGCTTCAGTTGCCTTAACTCTCCACCCGGCTGCCATGTGTCCCTGAACTCATGATGCCTGTTTCTCATGTTTATTCTTTTCCAATTTTAGGTGAATGAATATATGAATATAGAAGGGACCAGGTAACAATCTCATGAATTTGTCAGAGGACTCTCGGACGTCCCCTAAGCAACGAGAACCAGTGGCTGGGTCCACTGAGGAGAAGACTCAGCTGACTGTAACAAGGGCTGTCTCCTATATATATAGCACAGGGTTATAATTATGTGGCCTGAAGGGAGGCAGAATAGACATCTCTAGCTTCTTCTCCCCTGACCCTTCTCCAAGAAAGACTTTATTTCCCTTCAAGAGGGGACACAGAAAGTGGGGAAGCTTATTCACTCAGAGAGAGAGAGAGAGAGAGAGAGAGAGAGAGAGAGAGAGAGAGAGAGAGAGAGAGAGAGAGAGAGAGAATCAAGCTAGAACTATATCTATCGGCACTCTTAAATATTGTGAGTTTAGGGAATAAGATTTTCAGGTTCAAGCTAACTTCTGATTGTTATTTAATTTAATGGGGTAAGATGACCCAAAGCTTGAAATCCAAGGCTTGACTCCCTTTCCACCAAATACCAGTTCCCCAATAAACACACATATAGCAAATAGCAAAGAAACCCATTTCTCCAAGTCAGTAGCAAAATGCAATCCAGAAATTCTCAAACTTAAAGAGGAGACAGTGAGCCTCTCTTTTCTTCTGCTTTCTTCAGCTGTACCCACCCTTTATGCAGGCACAAGGCATTGATCTCCATCAATAACAGGAGAGTCCCCTACCAATGGGCTTTGGGACTGGGGTTACAAACTCATCCACAGACTACACCACCCTCAGATGGGGGGCTGGGGGCTCAGCAAAGGGTCAAGGGATTGGGGGGAATGTTTTGTTCTAACCACTTTACTTTTGAGCCTGTTCTGCTCAAGGAACAAAGGTGTATACAAGAAAGAGTGTGTTCCCTTGGTTCACGGGGGGCATTTGTGGACCTTTGTCCTTGCTATGATTTGTCAGTAAATATTCCTTTGGAGCTAATTGACATCAACTAGTCAGTTGGTAACTGGGAGATAGGAGCAGGTCAGTTGATATTGGGGGGAACCATTGGCTAGGGCTCTGTGAATACAGTAATGGTAATAGAAACCCTAGCTGCTCAGGGTTACCCCCAGAATCCTGAGGTGGGAAGTTGTTAGCCACGTGCCAATACAAGTAGACATGCAGAAAGGGAGCCTCTCAAGGAGGTGCTGCATTTACAACAGGAGAACTCAAAGACAGTTCATTAAAACCAAGCACTGTGTGGTATTCGATGAGGGGAGGAAATACCATTTCAGGGGACATACTCTCTGATTTTGGGGTCCTCCTATAAATTGGTGAAAATGGCAATGATTAAAGTCAGTCCCTAGCCCAGGCAGAAACTTGCTAGTGTGGGAAGGTGGAGAGACAGAGGGCTCTTAGAATGGTTGGAAGAGACCTTTAGAGGCCATCTAGATCAGTACCCACATTTTTACAGATAAGGAAACTGAGACCCAGAGAGGGAAAGCGACTTAGGTTCAGAGATTTAGAATTGGACAGAATTTGAGAGGCCAATTGGACCAACTTCTTCATTTTACAGACCAACAAAATGAAGTCCCCATTTCAATGACTCAAGATAACACAGCAAAATAAAACCCACAGGATTTGAATCCAGGTTTCTTTGGCTCCAAATTCAATATTCTTTTCCTTTGCTCCATAATGTAGTGATCTTGGAATCCTCATTTCCCCCACCCCATCCATTCCTGTTTAATTTTATATATACATACACACACATATATATGTACATATTTATACTCCTTTATTTCTAGACAAATTTTAAAAAGATGTCCATTTTCATCTGGCTAAGGGTTCCTAAAGCTTCATGTAGTTAGGAAGAAGCAACAAGACAGAGTGAAAGGAGTGGCCCTGGATTTGAGGAGGAATAATACCTATGTGACCTTGGGCAAGTCCCTTCCCTTCTATGTAGCCTCAGTTTTCTCAGCTGTAAAATGAAAGGTCTGGACTAGATAATTTTTGATGTGCCTTCCAACAATTGGCATTTATTAAATTCTCTGTGCCAGGCACTGTGCTCCAAATCCCATGATCCCTCAGAGATTTGTGTTCTTGGATGAGGAAAAAGATTTCTGACATGCTCATGTTCCATCTATAAAACTGCCCAGTGTTTCTAATATGACTGACTTAGAGTCCTTCTAAATCCCAACAGGAAAGAAGGTCGGTAAGTCTTTTGTCTAGCCCCTTGTCAGGCCTGATTGGGAAATGGGTGACTCCATACCTTAATCCCTGCATTAGTGGGTGCGGCCAGAGCTATTGTAGTGATGACAGACAGAGCGGAGACAGGGGCTTTAGCTAACATGAACAGCCTGCGGCATCAGCCTGTTCATTCACAGAATTCCAGAATCTCAGAGTTGGAGGGACTGACCCCACAGGCATTTAGTTTACCCCGTATCTGAGTAAGAAGGACCTTCCTCTAAGACATCCCTGACAGAGGGTCTTCTACCCTTCTTTGACGACTTCCAGAAAGGAGAACCTCATCTAATTTCACTTCAGACAGCTCTAATTGATATGTTTCTCATACACAATCTAATTCTGCCTCTTTGCACTTTTTACCCATTAGTGCAAATTCTGCCCTCTGGGGCCAAGGAGAACATGCTCCCTATGTCACATAACAACGGTCCTCAACTTTTGGATCTCCCCTTTGGCCCATCACACCCACCTGATACACATATTTAAAGACAGCTGTCAAAATTCCCCTCCCCCACTTTGAGGGTAAATTCTCCCCTTCCTCCATCTGATTCTGATATAGCATGATCTCAAGCCACTACCATGATTGCTTTCAACTGGGACACTCCATTTTATCAATGTCCTTTCTAAAACATGAACTCTAGAATGTGATTCAACATTGCAGGTAGGGTCTGCCCAGGGTACAGCAGAGTGGGACTCCCACCTCCCTAGTTCTGATTCTCATGACTCTCTTAACGCAATCTAAGATGGCTTACTCAAGCCACCTTGGCCAGGGTATCATGCTGTTGATTCATATTCAGTTTATACACCACTAAAACCTCCAGACCAGCTGGCATCTTATCATGTTTCTCCTATTTTATGAAGCTGATTTCTTGAACCCAAGCGTAAGACTTGACATTTATTCTTATTAAATGTTATCTTATTGGAATTGTTCATTCATTTGACAAATATTTGAATGCTTATTCTGTGCAAAGGACCGTGCTAGCCAGGCATGTAGAGGTATGCTGTATGACTCTCACATTTATAAAGTCAATACATCTATGGCAGCAGAGCGAGGGATGGGGGAAGGCCAATTGTAGAGGGGAATGATCACTCCATGAACTGTATCTTGTTCTTTGATAATGAGGACTCCGTTCTCTGGTACCCAGAGCGAGTCAGAGATAAGACACCAGACTTCACCTAATTTTGAGGATGACTGGAGTTACGATTGCAGTTTGTTCCCCTGGAGGTGGGAGCGTGCTGGAAAAAGGTTCACATTCACTCACTGAGCTCTCCCTCTGACAAAAAGATACAACATTCTATTTTTTAGTTACTCTTCTGATTGGAAACAGGTTCAAGGATATTCTTTATACTTGAGTATACGTGGTCTTCAGGATGAGCTCTATTTTAATAAACAAGAGGCAATTTCAAAGCCAGAGTAGAATATTTTTGGGGGTGAAGCTGAATCCATATTTTTATTGGTAGGGGGACTGATGCTGTGGAGACTGCCTTTACCTCCATAAATCAATAACTCATCTCTGACTTAGGGCCTCAAGAAAGACTTGTATTTACTAGAAATTTTGCTTGGAAGTTAACCATATGGTCACAGATTCTCAGAATCCCAGAAACAGAGAAGTTTTAAATTGGAAAACACTTCAATGCTTATCTAGTCCTACCCATACATGAAAGGAATTCCAACCCTAACACACCCAACATGTGGTCAGCCAGAGTCCAACTGAAGACTTTAGGGAAAGGGAACCTCAAACCTTTTGAGGCATCCCATTCCACTTTGGGATAAATGTAATCATTAGAAAGATTTTTGCTTGACATCAAGCCTAAATTCAGGAGGGGAAAATAAAACACACTGGAGAATCTTTAATTGGGGATGGTTAAAGAAAATGTAGTCTATAAATACAATGGAACACTATTGTATCATAAGAAAAGATGGATATGACAAATTTAGAAAAATGTGGGAAGATTTTGGAAGCACGGGAGGATGCAGAAGGAAGTAAGCAGGACCAGGAGAATGATATACACAGTGACTAAAACCCTAAAAAGGAAGAGCACAATAAAACAGAGCCACATGGAGAGCAATTGCAATAACCAGAATTGGTCCTAGAGAGAGGAAACAGACCTCAGTGAAGAGATGGGGGAGGGGCACATTGGTGTGGAATATTGTTAGATGGGTAGATGTGTTGGGCTGGTCTTCCTGGGGTTTTCTTTTTGCCCTTTTGTTACAAGTGAAGACTCGTAGATGGGGGGGAGGGGGAGGTATATCCAGAAGTGAAAAAGAAGAAAAATACAAGTGGGAGGGATACGTGACCATCTGCCTATAATCTGTGAAATCCACCTCTGTCTCCTGAGAACAAAGTGGTGCCTCTCCCAAACTGGATGCTTCTGATGGACCAGACACTCAGCCACAAGCTTCTTTTCATTAAGTCTTATGTGAAAGGGCTCTCCCCTCTCCAGGGGCAGAGTATGGTGCAAGCAAAGAAGTATTTGACATGCAGCCACAATGGCTAGGAAGAAAACTAAGAAGGAAACAAATCTGTGAATCTTTAATAGTCATATATTTTGGAAAACAATAAAAAAAACACTTGAAAATGCCATCTAAGGTCACAGTCACTTATACAAGTTTTAATCTTATATTGCTTGGCCATTTTTACATATAAATTATTGCTCACTAGCTTTCATAAATATGCGACATTACTTTATGTACAGAGCCCACAAGCAGGGGAGAGGAAGGGGAACACTGTCGCTGAGGATTCTGGTAAATCAACAAACGGTTTCATCTCTACCAGTGCTTCGGAGAGTGGACAACTACTGACCGTAGTCCCTGAGAAGTTCGGTAGACATCCCTGATTGCGGGGTTTCTAGCTTTTTATTGTTAATGCAAGTCAACAGTGTTAATAGCAGTTCCAATTCAAGATACCACCAAGGGAAGATTTCTTGCCTTGGGTCATGGATTTCATCTTGGTACAACAACAGTGTAATCTCAATACAATAAATAGACTATGCAAATAAATATTGTTCTCTGCTAAAAAATAAAACAAAAACAAAAGGTTAAGTATATACAGCTTGGTTCTGAACAGTAGTACATTTTTTTCTTGCTTTTTGGCAATTTTTTAAACTTTTTTTTTGGCCACTGGTTTTAAGCACACTGCTCACTAGCTAAATGTGAGCTGAAATTCTAAGGACATGTTGTAGAAGCATCTAAAGTTGTTATAGCAAACCCCCCTCAGACAATGGCACCAGAACCTGGGTGTTCTTACCCTTTCTATTTGAACACTTTGGCCAATTTCTCTTCTCTTCTCTTCTCTCTTCTCTTTCTCTCTGTCTCATGTACACACACACACACACACGCACACACACACACACACACACACGCACACACGCGCACACACACACACACACGCACACACACATACAATCCGTTGCATGATTTCAAAAGACCGAGGTTAGCAATTTACAGCATCTGGTGATAATCCCAATAGTAGCTGATGGATGGACATGTTTCCACATGTGGGCAGAAACTCTGAGCAATCCCAGCTCTCCTTCCATGCCCCACTCAGTTTTTTAACCAAACTGTCAGTGCAAGATGGGTCATATTCTCCCTCTGGACCTGATTGTGGCTTTTCCTGCTTAAGCTCTGATTTGGGAAATCGTGTCCCTTATTGATCCGGTTTTCCGGAAGAGACTCCAAATAACCACCATGTAATAGTTAGCTTTGAGAATCTGTTCCTCCAAGTCATCCCTAGAAGTGCTTTGTGACTACAGTATAGCAAGTGCCAATTCAGACTAGCTCTGAGTCTTCAGTCTGCCTGTGAAAAGAAGGAAGTGCTTGGATATTGTTGCATATTCACAGGGGTCCATGCTTGGTGTCCTGTGCTGGACTCACTCCTGACACAGCCTGATTTAGTGGAATGCCAGGGAATTCAGGGACACACAAGGATTTGTAGAAGCTCTACCACAACAGGGGGCCCCTAGGAAAGGCTCAAGTTTGAGCTGGTAAAGATCCCTGGAGAACTTCTGAGTTAGGAATGATTTCATGGAACTGCAGAAGAGACCCCTGAGTCTCAGATTTTGGTGCCACTTCCCAGTCTAGGAAGCCCTTCCATGGCAGATGACCCTCTGCTTATTACTTGTAGGCTCCTTAAGGGGAGCTCACTAGGGCTCTGGAGTGACCTCCTTCCCTGGAATTTAGAATCTCACAAATGGAAGGGCCTCAGAAGCCATCTAGCTCAAGACCCTCATTTTAGAGGTAAGGGAGCTGAGAACCAGAGAGAGAAAGTGGCTTGCTCAGAATGGGAGATTTGTTGGGTGGCTCAAATTATTAGAAAGTTCTAGGATGTTGAGCTGGACTCTGCCATTTTCGTTCTTGGGGCGTAACTCTCGTCCAAGAAGCTTGGTGAAACTATTGATCTTTTTTGTCTGTTCAGACCCTTTAGGTCAGAATTAAATATCAGAACAACATTTGGAGGACAAAGATGAGAAATCCTTTGTTGTCTCTGTGCTGGGTCCCTCCAGTGCTAGGTCTTGAGAGAAGAGGGTAACGATAAAGTCAAGGGTATGGCTGGGGATGGTTCTTCCCCCCAGCGAGATGCCTCTTCCCATTGACTCCATTCCCTTCCCCTGCCACACTACAATGACACGCACCTGTCAGTGCTCAGAAAAGGCATTTCTATAAGATCCCAACATGGCTTGAGCTTGGCATGGTTTCATACTTCAGGATCCCTAAGCACTCAGTGCAGTGGCTCACAGTTTTCCAGAAAAATTCTTCACTAGAGGGAGTATTATGGCTGAAACAGATCAAGACAATTTATATTTTTAATTGGCAAAATGTAGAGTTTTAGGGTTAAAAAAATCTGAGTTTCTCCTGGCTTGCTTTTCATGGAACTTTCCAAATGCCAGTTACAGTCATATTTGCCATTTTTGTCTTCCTGGTCACAGAAACCCAAACAAAACATGCCAGATGTTGCCTAAGGCCAGCCACATTACCTACAGGAAAACAGAGGAAGTGTTGACTGTCACCAACAAGACTGAGTTCTTCTTGATACTGTGCTATGGAATGGCTCTCTACCACTGGTCTCCATTGTATCCAATAAGCAGCACCATGCTTATGAGCACATCTTCCAGACCCATTCAACAGTGTGTCATTATCGTCTCCCATCTATGACTATGAATGATTTTAGACAAAGATGAAATTTCATATACCAGGACAAATCCATATTTCTTTGTGTGGATCTCTCACTTATTACATATAACATGTATCATGTATATTATATATTACATGTGCTATACAAGTCATTCCTATATCCACAAAATATACACGTGTATACACACATGTGCATACATATGTGTTTGTGTGCATATATGTGTGTGTAGTCACAGACAGGTATGTATTTGCTGAACCCCAGGAAACAGGGCTGTAATAATGTCTAGAAATATTTCATCTATTTCTGACAACGAACATGAATATGATTTTAGTGAATTGAAATCAAGGTGTTGCTTAAGGGCACACAGATTGTGAGAAGGAATGTAGTTTGAAAACCTTAGCAAAGACTGATACATAAATAGCCAGAATATCCATGATCTCAGCATGGGAACCTCTCAGTGTGGAAATGCCCTCCAAGGATACAAATTGCAATCCATCTCTATAGATAAGGCCCAGGGAATTACCTGAGGCATATAGAGGCTAAATGACTTGGCCAAGGTCACAAAATGGCAGGATTTGAACTCAGTTCAATCTGATACTAACCCAGCACTGTATCCACTGTCACATGGCATTTAAACAAACTGATTGATACAACATGGAGAAATTGAACTAATGATACATGAAACTGTGCTGCTTACAAACCTGCCATAGAAATTGCAGTAAGTAAAAATAAAATGAGTTGGAACGACTTGGAGCTTTGATAAAATCAAGATAAATGAGAGAGAGAGAGAGAGAGAGAGAGAGAGAGAGAGAGAGAGAGAGAGAGAGAGAGAGAGAGAGAGAGAGAGAGAGAGAGAGAGAGAGAATTCCTGCTTAGATCAGAAGATTGGGCCAAATGCTCCTCAATGGCCTTTCCCATTTGGAGATCCCATGTGTTTTCAATGTTTTGGGGAAGCTATGACAATTTAACTAAACCTGAGGGGGCATGTTTATTTCACTCTAAACCCAAACTTGTTTTCATGCACTGAAATCATAGCAACCCTCATGTGGAGAAGACCTCACCTTTTATCTGTCTTCTCTCTCATTTGCCCTCTACTGTTCTGGGAGGGAGCAGTAATGTCTCATCTTTCAGGCAAGGAAATTACTCCCAGGTCCCAAAGTGTGCAAATGACAAGAACTGGTGTCTTTCAAAGACCTCACAAGAGCACACACAAGAGTGGGCCATCTTTCATTTAGTGTGAAAAAAAAATCCTCAGAAATTATACTGAGTGCAGATTTTTTTTAAAAGGCAATCATTAACAATGCTGCCCCTATGGGAGATGCAATTTGGCATAATTTGCCTAATTGGTCCAAATAATTTTCATTAAACTAGCCAGCTGTGCAGAAAATAATTTCATCCCTAAGTGTGGATCTTTAAATGGTCATGTTTTTTTTTAAAGTGGGTGTCTGAAAATTGCAAGCTTCAGAATGTAAGCAGGCATAATGGGGATTACTTTTCCCAGGTTTCCCTTAACATTTATGTATACACACACATGCATGGTTTCATTGCAATTCCCATGGAGAAACCACCACTGAGTCAGAAAAGGGGCAAATGATGTGACTTTTTTTTTTCAAGATCTTGGAAAAAAAAGCAATTTTGCTGGACTGATCAGTGTAGGAACTTCAGGCACCAATGCAGATTCCCATCTGCTCTGTAAAATTCTAGTCTTAACCAGGGGCCTTGTGAGGGGAAGGGATTTGCCCAGGGTCACACAGCTAGGATGTGTCAGTGATGGGACTTAAACACAGGTCTTCCTGACTCTGAGGTCAGGCCTCTAGCTATGACACCAGGCTGCCTCTCAAGTAATGTGGTGGGACCCACTGAGAAGTGCATTCCAAGGTGCCTGGGAAATTTCCATCCCTCCCCACGTTCTGTGCTTTCTGGTTGAAATGTTTGTCCTTACGGGACATGACATGGCATGGCATAAGATTATTTTAACACTGGCGCACAAATGAAAGTGAAAAGCTATTGGACCAGTGATACTGTCATGAGGAACTCCACTGCTCCAATTCCAAGTGCTGTTTCCTCTTCCTCTCCAGCTCCAGCTCCCCAGGGAGAGCCCTGGTGCCTCCCTCCTTTCTGAAGGCTGCCACCAGCTCCTTCTCATGCTGTCTGACCTTCCCACAAGTGTCTAGGGAGTGACTGATAAAACTCAGCAAATCCGTTTTCAGGAGGAAAGCCACATGCTCGGCATCGACATTCCCTTAATCCAAAGTGCTGCCGTCCCCAGGGTCTGCCCGCCAGGCTGCCATAACATGAGTATGTGCTCACGCCCTTGGCTCAATCCGGTGGGAAAGTTCAAACAGCACCTGCTGGTTGTCAATGACATGCAGGTGGTGCACGTAGGATCTGAGCTCCTGGTGTTCTTTTGGAGACACTTCACCTCCTAATCTCAGAGAAAGGGGTGGGGGAAGGAAAAGAAACAAAGATTAGCATCCTGAGAGCTTTGGAAACCTCTCTGGGTGATGGCAAAAGCTTCAATTACAGGCTCACAGATTTTAGACATCAATCAATACTCTCATTTTACAAATTGAGGCAGATGAGAGGAAATGACTTACCCAGGGTCACAAGCCAGTAAATGTCTAAGGCAAGATATGAACTCAGGTCTTCCTGCTTCCAAGCCCTGCACTGTCTCTCTCAGCTATTCTATTTGCTGGCAAGTGTGACCTCAATCATCAGAAAGACCATCTCTCTCTAAATGGGGGACTGCTGACAGCTTAGAGAGGAATGTTTCCTTCCTTGGTTCTTTGGAGTCAGCTGGCTGGGAAAAAGCCAAAGATGTTCAAGGCATTATGCCTGCTTGCATTCTGAAGCTTGCAATTTTCAGATACCCACTTAAAAAAAAAACATGACCATTTAAAGATCCACACTTAGGGATGAGAGGCAAGAGATGGTGCTATCCAGAAAAAAGGGGCCTGGATTGCAGGCGTGGAACGCCTTGGATCTTCTGTGATCATCTACGTACAGTTTACGTGCATACAGTTTATTTCTTAAATAGCTACTTTGTGCAAGATTTTATATACATATATTATATATCTATACACACATATGTGTATGTGTGTGTGTGTGTGTGTGTGTGTGTATGAACACAGAAAGAGCCGTATATAAATCATTTTAACGTTGAACAATCTTGTATTGGAAACCAGAACCTTAGAGATCGGTCTAACCACTTCATTTTATGGATCAAAAACTGGGGCCAAAAGAATAATGGCATGACATGTTTATACACATATATTTGTCGTTGTTTTTAATCAATTAATTATGTCTGACTCTGTGTCCTCATTTGAGGTTTTCTTGGCAAAAATATTGCAGTGGTTTGCCATTTCCTGCTCCGGCTCATTTTACACATGAGGAAACTGAGGCAAACAAGGCTAAGTGACTTGCCCAGGGTCACACAGCTACCACTTGGTCTGAGGCCAGATTTGAACTTAGGATCAGTGCTCTATCCACTGTGCCACCTAGCTGCCCACATACATATGCCTTAACGTATAAATATATATACACCATGTAGTGATCATACATATCATATCATAGAAACTAGAATAGAATTGTATTATATACATTATATAATTATTAACATATGTATATTTTTGCATACATACACATACATACATACATACACACACACACACACACACACACACACATATTATGTAGTTATATAGCTACGGAAATGTCCATGGTGCTGGTCTGGCATCCCAGCTTTTTCCTAATACTGACAGCGAAGAAGATGGGATTTAGTGAGAGAGAGAAGAGAGAGAGAGAAGAGAGGAGAGAGAGAGAGAGAGAGAGAGAGAGAGAGAGAGAGAGAGAGAGAGAGAAACCTGGGCCCGAGGCCTGAGTTTTGCCCTTCCAGAAAAGGAAAGCCAGTGTCAGCTATCTGTGTGAGGCTTTTTGCCAGCTGGTACCTGGGAATTATTATTATTTTTTAATGCTACTCTCATTCTGTTGGTATAAATACCCTCATTTAAAGAAAGGAGTGTTGTAAGGGTAATGTTGGGGAGGAGACAATTTGGGGCTTGGAGTTCACAAATGACTTCTAATTCCTGTCTTTGTTGGAAACAAAACTTCATGGGAACAGCAACAAAAAGGACTAATATACAGAATGAAAATGATTCACAGTCCCTCTTGTTTTGACAATAACAAATAGTGAAATTACTGTCGAAATGAAACAAACGTCTGGGTAGAGTTTGGCAATTTTCTCCATAGACTCAAAGGAAGAAAATATGATGCTAAAAAGAGAATTTCGTTATTATTTTCTAACCCTTGGAGACATCTGAGGCTGGTGTGCTTCATTTATAAAGGGGGGCTTCTGGCCAACCATGGATCATGTTTAATTTCCTTCTGCCTTTTTGTCTACAGTCCCCTTAGTCAGACACAAATAGCCAAAGAGAAAAAACAATCCCTGTTGTTAAAGACTAAATAATGAAGCCTAATAGAAGAGAAGCCTGCCTATCACACTCTAATAAATATTCAGTAAATTTGCTTCACATCCATATGAATTTAGCTGGGGGCGGGGGAGCTGTTCCTTTGGGAATATTTGCATGAGCTGCTTCTAAAATGTCAATTTCAGAGTAGAACCAAGCGTTACCGTGGCGATTACATTCATGTAATCCAGGCCACTCGATTGTCTGATAAAATGCTGGTGAAAAACACGGAATTATAATGGCAATAATTACCACAAAACCAAATTTGATATTCTGAATGCTAATGTTAGCTCTTTGAGGGAGGCTATTATTTTAGTTTGGTCTTTGAATCCCCAAATATCTACCATATTATATGGCATAGAGTAGATGTTCTATTTAAAACACACACACACACACACACACACACACACACTATATACGTAAATAATCACAATAGGATTAGAGATGGAATAGATGTGATGGACTACCTAAGCAGGGCTTCTTAAAATGGGGTCTGTACCCTTACGTTTAAAAAAATATATTTTGATACCTGTATTTCAATATAATTGGCTTCCTTAGTAATCCTATGTATTTTATTTTATGCATTTTAAAACCATGACCTTCAAAAAGGCCCATGGGTCTCACCAGATGGCCAGAGAGGTCCAGGACACAAAAAAGGTTAAAACCCCATGATGTAATATAATCCTCATATTTTGTACATGAGGAAACTGAGGTCCAGAGAACTCAAGTTAACATAAAACATATATTATACATATACATGCACATGTACACACATGTATATATATATGTCCATCCATCCATCCATCTATGTATGTATGTATGTATTTTATTTATCTATCTATCTATCTATCTATCTATCTATCTATCTATCTATCTATCTATCTATCTATCTATCTATCTATCTATCTATCTATCTATGCCAAAAGGACCCAGGTCACACTGCTATGAAGTATCTGAGGGGGGATTTAATCTCAGGTTTTCCTACCTCCAAGCCCAGCACTCATTCTATTATACCACCCTCTCTGTCAGTATTTCTAAGCTTAATTCTCAAGGAAGCAAAATATTTTAGAAGGCACATATAAAAAAATCTGCTACTATGAGAGAAGGCTCAACATTGGGCTTTTTTTGTTGTTTTTCAATCAGCTTCCTCACGGGAACCTGAGCTCCTATACTACAGTTACAACCCATGGCACCTTCTCTCATTGACCCATTCAGAATTTCAGCGGGCCCATAATCCCCTCCATTGGGACACTTATTCCCACAGCACCCTCCAGCTGTTCTCCTCAGCTTTTCTTGGTCATGGCTATCTGTAAATGCTCCTTAAAGAGCCTCCCCAGGATGCACTTAGCACAGTGCCTGGCACATAGGAAGCCCTTAATAAGTGCTTGTTGACTGCCTGAGTGGTTGACTGGTGCCCTGCCTCTCTCAGTGGGTACCAATGCACTCCCCAAGCTGTCCATCTGGTACCCACACATTTGCTACTTGACAATGCCATCTTTTCTCATCATGCGTGGCTCTGAGGATGCTTTTCTGCTCTTTTTTGCATATAAGTTGTTGCTGATATGTTCACCCACCCTCATCTCATATATCTCTCCAGGGTCTTTGGAATCACTCACAAATTGGATTCTGGGGAGCTCACACTGTTCTTTGAATCTCACATAGCATTAGAAGGAAAACTGATATAAAAAAAACCCCATAGGGTTTTGAGTTAGAGTATAAGTTGAGATTATTCACTGGAGGTGTCTCCAATATAATCCAGCCCATTTGCTTTGCCTTCCCTAATTCTGGGCCCAGTGGAATGGCTCTGTTCAGTGCTTGCCTTGCCATGTGTACTGACGGGCTGCCGATCCACTGGAATCCAAGCACAGGGGGTTGCCAATCACCTGCATCCCATAATCTTGGTTTGGACACACTTTCATTGATTAGAACAGACTATCCAGGAAGAATGAGAAATGGGCAGAAGGAAAAGGAGAAATAGACTTGGGCTACTGCCCTGTCCCCTCCTTCTACCTCATAGCGTCTGAATGGAACCAAGTTCTACATCATCGCCAGATACACGTCATGCCCACCACATAGAACCCTGGGCAACAGACTGCTTATACTGCCAGGTAAAACTGGGATCACTCACCAAACTGGTTATTCCGGCAGTGTCTCAGGGATCGGACGGTATCTGCAATCATGTGCTGAGGAAACAAAGGAAAATTATGTGAATGAAGGTCCAGATACTCGACCTAATCCAGAAAGCATTGGCTACATGTCTGGCCCTGGGCTGGCAGCAGGGAGAAAGAAACAGAACCAAATCAACCCAAAACACCCAGGCCCTGGCATCCAGGAACTAAAATTCTACTAGTGGGAGGGAGAGAGATACAGACAGCCAGAAGGCCAAGGGGAGCCTGGGCCAAGCCTTAAGCCACATCCTTCTGCCATGGGAACAATGTTCTGGCTAGCTAACCAACCTTCCCTCAGTGTTAGAGAATCCTAGGATCTCAGTGCTGAAAAGCATCAGAAGATATCTCCCTCCACCACCATCCAGCCAGCACAGAGTCACCAGAAGAACCTCAGTGCCACTTTCTTCACATTACCCTCCTTGGGAGACTAGTACTCCCTATTGTCTTGTGCAGCCAACGTCACATCCCTAGTTGACCAAAACTTTTATTTTTTTTCCCTCATTTTTTCTTTTATTTTGGTTTCATCATCAATATACCAAGCACAGTATCCCCCAAGTGGATACAGCAGACTGTCAGTTCAAAGGCCTTTCTAAAGAGGCAGGGGGGAGGACAAAACTAAGTTGGGTTTATGCCCATAGACCTAACTAGAGCAGCCACAATAGCAGTAAGAGTAGTAGCTGAGATGTCCAGAAGATCACAGGAGACAAATTCTGAGAAAGGAAACAGGAATCAAAATACCAGTGGCACCAGTCAGTGGACAAGAAATACAAACTGCAAGGAGGCCAACTTAACCTCCTAAGCTTCAGTGAGGCAAAATAATTGTAATGGGATTTGGAAAGGATAACTAATTCAAAAGAAGAAAAAGGGTAAAAGCTGCATAGCCGGGGAGCGAGAAGTAGTTTATGTTATGAAGATATAATCATGTAGAAATCTAGGAAACTCAGGGGAAAATATAGCATAAGGGAAAGCATTTGGGTAAAGAGCAGTGGAGATAAACAGAAACAAGATTGTAAACAGAGTATGCTACAGACCACCTGGACAGAAAGGAGAAATAAATGAGTAGGCACAACATAGTAGTGACAGACAACTTTAATTACTCAGACATACATGTCCTGGAGCATTTTCTCTCTGACAAAAGCAGGGGAGGAAATTGTTTCTGGACTTGCCTTACTGGCTATTTCATCCTTTAAAACATTGAGGAAACAAAGAGGGGAAATCCTGTTCCGAGGTCTGATTCTCACTACTAAGGAGCAGAATTGGTTAATGGGGGTGGAGAAGATGGCAGTCATTATTTTCATTGTTTTAATTATTCTAATGGTCCAAGCAATTGTTCATTTCTTATTCCTCAATCATAGAAGGTCATGTGGAAGGAGACGCCAGCTGTAGCTTACTATGCTTCTAAAGGAAGCTGGACCTGACTCTTATCTGTAAGTATATTATTCAGTTTCCTTCCTTCAACTGACTGGTTTTCCCATGCAAGGTTTCCTCTTTACTTCAGCTATGGCGCCAGGGTGATTAATATCTTGCACTACCCTATGGCATAGCACTGTCTGAGGTGCTGAAATCTGAATCCAGATTGATATCTTGAGGCTTCCTCAAGAAGGAGGGCAGAGAATGAGAAGATATGAGGAAAAATGATGCTTTGAATATTGGGGAATGAGAAAGAAATGAAAAAAGAAAGCTTTGTTCCACTTTCATTGTCTAATAAGAGGAAATTTCAGTTTAGCTCTAGTTTGGGAGGTAAGGGATGCTGACACAACAGTGTCAGAAGAACAGAATGGAGTAGCTGGACCGCAGGAGCAAACAGAAAACTAGCTGGCCAGTCCTGAGACCTGTGAGGCATTTGAATTCAGCTGCTGGCTTCTGTGATTCTGGCTGCCCCCCCCCCCAAAAAAAAACTGATCTGCTAGGCAGCATTAGAAAGGAGCTGCAGAATTGTGGGTGTATATGTTACCTTCAAGCTGGAGCTAAAAGTCAGAACTGGAAAGGAAGCACTAATAAATTCAATTATGAAGATCCTTTCTGTCTTTCTTTTGGGAAGGATGTTAGCTCATGCTGTGGCCCTCTGAGACCTGCCATGGCCTTAAAATACTGTCTCTTTGAAGTTAAAGTAACACATAATTTTGAAATTCCTGCCCATTGTCCTTTGCTCATGGCAGTAATGACTATAATGGAGGAAGATTTATGCCCAATTAGCAAGAATTTTGAGTTAGTGAGAGAAATGCTCACATAGACCTCAGTAAGGAATGGGCATTAGAGGGGCAGCTAGGTGGTGCAGTGGATAGAGCACTGGTCCTGGATTCAGGAGGACCTGAGTTCAAATCTGGCCTCAGACACATAATACTTACTAGCTGTGGGACCCTGGGCAAGTCACTTAACCCCATTGCCTAACCAAAAAAAAAAAAAAGGAATGGGCATTCGAATAGTTTGTCTCTGCTTTCTGAGTCAGGGAATAATCATTTCATGAAGGGGAAAGAAGAGAAGGAGAAGAGAGAGGATTGGAAGGAAGAGGAGGATGAAGCAAAGGAAGAGGAGAGAAGAGGGTAAGCTAGAGAGAAGGATTTTGAGGATCTTTGCTTATCACATGGAGATTTATTAAGAGGGAAAAAGTATCTTCTCAAATTCATTGAGATAGCTCTTTCTAAAACATTTTTATTTTTTGGAGATCTGATCTAAACAAATCAACTCCTTAAAGCCTTTCTGAAATCTACGGCAGGCACAACTGTTGTAAAATGTTGAACATTCATTTTAGAACATGTAAGCTCCTCTCCTGGGTAACAGCCTACTTGCACCAGCTAAGGTAAATTTACCTTAGTGTTTGAAAGTGTTTTTCCATGTCCCTTAGAGTGAACTAGGACCCACATACACAGGCCTGACACTCACTCATTTGAAAGAACTGAAGAATAATTTTGTGTTTTAAATGACCCCAGCATCATATGCCTCTTTGTAGACTGGTTTTTATGATGCCCTGTTGATTGTACCTATGATTTAGCTGAGGCAAAGGCTGGGTTACTAATATGATGCCTAATTATCGCATTATGCCACTGGGAAAATATATTTTTTATGACATGGTTTTCAGAGAGGCTTTGTGATAAATAAACATACAAACAAAAAAACAGAGACTGTTTGTGTACAAACATTGGGAGGCAGGTATTCAGCCAAGTGGAAAGAGAGCTGGGCATGGCTTTGAATCTAGGCTTTGATGTTTACTATTGGCAAGTAAGTCATCCACTCAAAGCTTCAGTTTACTCATTTGTAAAATGGGGACAATTACCCAGGGGCACTGTGGTGGATAAAGGGGTGGGACCTTGAGTCAGGAAAACTGAGGTTTAAGCCCTGCCTCTGCTGTATATTAGCTGTGGGACTATGCGTAAGCCACATAACCCTGCTGACCGCAGTTTCCTCATTTATAAAATGGAGATAATAGTAATTAGAGAGAGGCAGTCTACTTATGGGATAGAGGGGTGGTCCTGGAGTCAGAAGAACTTGAGTCCTCTGACATATGCTGGTTATGTGACTGTGGGAAACTCTCTAAGACCATAAGTTACAGGTGAGCGGCTGATCTACATCAGAGGAGGGAGTTTCTATACTGGGAACTCCCCAAGAAGGTTTGTTACATTCTTCAGAGGCTTGTGAGGAAAGACTAAAGAGGACCCCAAAACTCCAGGGATTTATAGTACTTTTTGTATTACGGATGCCTTTGCTCATCAGGGGAAGCCTATGGGCCCCTTCTGCAAATCATGTTTTTAGCTGAAGGAAATACTAAATTTCAGTGAGAGGTTATTGAAAATCAAGATGTCTTTTTTCCCCTCTAAGTCCACAGACCCCCTGGGGGTCCATCATTAATAACCCTGCTGCTCAGAAATGAGAGTTGTAATGCTCATGTTACCCTATAAGGCAAATGGTATAAAGGCATTTCATACCAAATTTCCCTTTTTTTCTCTCCAGAAATCAAGAGAAGAGTTTTTGAGAGTCTTGGGCTGTTGCTAAAGGAGAAAAGAATATGTATCTTGGAGATTTTGAGCCTGAGAAAATCCTCAGAATTCCCATTACTAAGCCCAGACTTGCCCAGGCTCCCACCACTACAAGTGTCTGAGGTAGGGTTTGAACCCACATCTGCCTGATTCCAGGCCAGTGTCCTCTCCACTCTGCCATGTTGGCTCTTGTCTATTACACTGTCTGGAGGCCTGGACCCTCCTTCTCACGGTGAGTGCCTCAAGGATAACAGGTCACTGGGAATTCAGAGAATGTGTTCACTGCACAGACTGGGCTTTTTCCTAATTTGTTTTGAGAAACTAAGGATGAACCTTCATAATTAGTCTGGAAGATTAATCTTGAAACATATCACAGGAGAGTGCTAATTAGGCCTGGGTGCCAAAGTTCTAAGTTATAGCTCTGGTGTCTTACACATAGTAGGTGCTTAACAAATGTGAACTGAATGAAGAATGAACGAATAGAAAGCTCCCTAGCCTTCACTGACAAAGAAGCAGAAGACTAAGGGAGGTTCTCATTTCCTCCCTTCCCCCAGGTCATGCCGTAACAGTTGGGCAGAGGATGACCGTCCTCCCCAGATGCTGACATAAGCCTCCCTTGTCGGGAGCTCCAGAAACGCTCGAAGGATCAGTTTAGTTGTTAGGGGCTTTTTGAGGGGAGGGAAAGGGATGTTCATAAAGCAGTGAAAGTGTGCATTTCCCATCCTATCCCCCCAAGGATTTACCATTTCATTTCTAGCTCAATAATACCAAAGCCAAACCACATCAATCCCATTTTTGCAAATCAAAAGCTACCCTAATGTTAGTAGGCTCTCATGGCTAGCCCTGCTGCTGAATGTGTTTTTAACTGAATGACACTTTATGGGCAGCCCAGAAAGTCTGGGGCCCAGGTCCTGGGAGTCACAAGGCACCGAATGACAAGCAATCACACAGCCTGAGTCCAGGAACCTAGAAAGGAAAGCAGATGCTGACCTCCAAGGGGGGTAGGATTTTTGATTTTGTTTTTGGTATTTACCTACCAGCTTTTCAAAATTGACGAGGTTATCCAAGAAAGTTTTATTTCCTTCATGGATGAATGTCACATCTGAAAGTCAAAAGAAAAGTACAGACAGACAATATTAGAAGGGAGAAAGTACTTGAACTCCTGGCACAGCAAAATACATGTTAGAAATGTTCAACATTTTAGGAGCATGCACGTAACATTCCATTTAGACTGGGAATTGAGGTAAGGCTCTATATCATTTCAATAAGGATTTATCAAAGGCCAGCTAGGTGGTTTCATAGCACATGGAGTGGTGGCATGGAGTCAAGAAGACGAGTTCAAATCCAGCCTCAACCACTTTCTAGCTGTGTGACCCTGGGCAAGTCACTTAACCTCTGTTTGCCTTAATTCACTGGAGAAAGAAATGGAAAACCACCTTATTATCTTTGTCAAGGAAACCCCATGGACAACACTGGTGTGCTGTGGTCCAGAGGTCATGAAGAGTTGGACACAAATGAACACCTGAACAACAACAGCATGTACTGGGGACACAAAGATACAAACAAAGCAATGCCTACCCTCAAGAAGCTTCCATTCTGCTGGGGAGATGCAACACCTACAAAGGTGAGTGAAGGTATGAGGGCACTATCCATTGAGAACGACCAGGATATTTGTCATCTATCAGGCAACTAAGTGCCTGGAGTCAGGAAGACCTGGGTGCAAATGTGACCTCAGACACTTACTAGCTATGTGACCCTGGGCAAGTCACTTAAGCGCTCCTTTCCTCAGTTTGCTCATCTTTAAAATGGAGATAATAATAGCACCTACCTCAACGGGTTGTTCGGGGATCAAATGAGATAGTAATTATCAAGTGCTTAGCACGGTGCCTGGCACACAGTAAGCACTACATCGACGTTAGCTTTCTTCAGTGTCATCATCGCCATCACTGTTGCTGTAGAGCTGGTGGTGTCGGAATTGAGCTTTGAGAGAAGCTAGAGATGATCAGAGACAGAATGGAGAGGCAAGCGCATCCCAGGACGGGCACAGCCTGACCCTCTTGGGCACAGAGACTGGTGACGGGATGGCACGTGTGAGGAAAAGCAAGAAAGCCAATGGGACTTAGAAAGGGGCATAAAGCATAATAAGGGATACACAGGATGGCAAATGGATCATTTGGGCTGGAAAGTAGCCCTGAGCCTCAAAGAGCCTCTGGTCTGAGATGCGGCTGAACAGACAACACAGCCAGGGAGTGGATGCCCAGTCTTCACTGGAAGGCCGCTAGGCAAGGGGAAGCCCCTCTCCTCCATCCGCCTTCGAAAGGGCTCTTCCTGGCCTCTCAGAGCTCCTACTCCTGCCCACTGGAGCCAAAATGACCAAGTCGAATCCTTCTATCTGATAGCTCTTCAGATATTTCAAGATGGCTCTTGTGTTCTGCTCCCCGCTCTCAGCCTTTTCTTCTCCAGGCTAAACGTCCCACTTCCTGTACCTAATCTTTCACTTCCTGTACCTCGTCTTTCACTTCCTGTACCTCATCTCCCATTTCCCACACCTCCTCTTCACACGGCAGTAGCACCAGTGTGCTGGTACTTCTCTAGAAAGTCTCTTGCTTTATGAATATGAACTATGGTATGCAGAAGTATACCAAACCCTGTGTGTGCCTGAGTAAGGCAGAAGACAGCTAGACCATCACCTTCTTACTCCCAGAAGCGATGCCTGTCAAAGCAGCTTAACGTCTCGTTAGCTTTCTTGGCCACCATTTCATACTGTTGATTCATTTGGCTTTTGGTCCACTAAAGCCCTCAGATTTTTTTTCAGATAAACTACTTTAATAATTTTTCCTCATCCTGTACTAGCTAATTGCTCAAACCTAAGCCTAAGACTTCATATTTCTCCCCATTAAATATTTTCTTATTAGACTCAGCTTACTACTCTAGCCCATCAAGGTCTTTTTGGATTCTAGGGGGTTAGCTGCCCCATCCAGCTTTGTTTGGATTGTCTGCAAAGCTTTTATCCAAATTTCTGCATCTATCCAAAAAAAAAAAAGAAGGAATGTCAAAGAGTAAAGCACAGATCCTTGGGGCACTCTACTAGAGACCTTCCAAAGTAACATTGAACCATTAAGGAATACTCTTGAGTGAAGTTATTCAACTTCTTTAGTATCCACCTAACACTATGAGTAAAAACCCATCCCACCAGGATGAGTGCATACTTCCTACTGATATTTAGTGGTTGGATTTTATCTAGATGTCACAATTATTTAATAATTAAAATCCTAGCTCTTTTGTATTGTGCTTCTGAGTTTCACCTCACAAAGCACCTTACACACAAGATCTCATTTGATCCTCACAGCAACCCTGGGACTTAGGTGCTATTATTATTGTTCCCATTTCATAGATGAGGAAACTGAGGCTGAGAGAGGTTGTGGCTTGCCCAGGGGTCACATTGTTAGAAAGTGTAAGAGACAGATTTGAACCCTGATTGTTCCAGATCATTATTTCTACTAACTTTATCTTATCAGAAGACTGACCTATGAAATTTCTAGTCAAGACAATAGAGCAGACTTGCTCTTTCATACAGAGATGAAATTGCATCTCTTAAAATACACCGGGATTGTGTTGCAACTTATTTTCTTTGTTGAGAATGGGGCAGCCCCTGAGCTGAGGCGAGGCATTTTGTACCCTTGGCAAGGAGTAAAGGTTCACCTCTCTCTCCCAGTGAATGTGGAGCACCACGCACACAAATGAGGCTTGTAAACGTGGTGTTGGGATAAAGGCATCTCTTGCGGGATTGCCTGTCAGATATATACCGGCTACTCATTACATTCTGCTGAACTCACTCGTGCTAGCTCCTACCATGGATGAAAGACACTGCAACAAAGTAGCATTTACAGAAGCATTTGTATGGCCTCATTGTCTTGGGTGGCATTCTATAGACAAAGAGGGTTCTCTGTAAATAACCTGTTTCCTTTCACGGTGGCTTGTTGGCTTGGGTGGGCAGTAGAGGTGAGGAAGGACCTTAGAAATAGTCCGGTCTAATCCCCATTTCTTACAAATGAGAAAACTGAGGTCCAGAAAGGTGAATTCACTTCTGCCAAGTAAGTAGAAGGGCCAGGGTGCAAACCTAGTTCTTGATTCCAGATCTTACCCTCTGTTTTTGTCTACATGACCACTTCCATCTGCCCCGCCCCTCTTTTCTGCAATGAGTCTTCCACCCCAGCTTTGAGATCTCACTGTGATCCATGGACTTGACTTATCACAAAATATGTCTTTATGTGCCAACGGGAATTCCATGTCCTAGCATTAAAAATACATATTTGTCAAAGAGAATACTAAAATGTGTCCCCTGTTATCCTTCCTGCGAACACTGTTCCTCCCTCTTGTAGGTAGCACAATGTGTAGGAAGATGAGTAATATGAAATTAGAGTGGGAAGGTAAGTGACAGCCATATTACTGAGGGCTTTAAATGCCAGAAAAATAATTTTTTTTTAAAAAAATGAGCAAACCCTACAGATTTTTTTGACTAGAAGGGAATGATATGACCAGGTGGTTATTTCAGAAATATTAGTTTGGCAGGCGTGCAGAGAATGAACTGGAGAAGACACAAGGTCACTGGACAGCAAAGAAGACACTATTGGAACGATCCAGATGAGAGGTGATGAGGGCCTGGAGAAGAGAAGAGACCATGCAAGTGGAGAGTAGAGTCTGGGTGGTAGAGATGTCATTGGCGTTAGAAGCAATAAGATGAGGAATGAGGGGAAAAACCTGGGATGGCTCCTACCTCCCAGTAAAAGTAGTGGACTTTGGGGGAGGGATGGATTTGGGGTATCTGTGTAGGGGGTAGATAATGAATTCTGTTTTGGACATGTTAAATTTGAGATGCCTATAAGACATCATGAGTGCAAGAGAATAATCGATAACAATTAAAATAATGTAAGGTAGCACATAGTAGAAAGCAGCTGGATGGCTCAGTGGGTAGAGTGCTAGGCCTAATGTCACAAAGACTTGAGTTCAAATCTGGCCTCAGACACTTACTAGCTCTGTGACCCTGGCCAAGTCACTTAACCCTGTTTGCCTCAGTCTCCTCATCTGTCAAATGAGCTGGAGAAGGAACTGGCAAACCATTCCAGTATCTTTGCCAAGAAGAACCTACGGACAGTATTGGTGTACATGGGGTCACAGGGAGACAGATGTGGTCGAATGCACAACAAGCAGAGAGCAGCAGTTAGTGACAGGACCTCTTGAGTCCACGTGATTTGGGGACTGCAGGCCAGTCATTGAACTCCTCTGCATCCCAGGCAACTTTCTAAGACCGTAAAAAGTGCTGGAGAATTGTTGATCTATATTGGAAGAGGAAGTTTGCTCACCAGGGAACTATGGAGATGGATGAAATCCCAGGTTTAGACAAAGTAAGAGCCCCAAAGATAACAAAACTGTTTGTTGAAGGATTGAATGTTGATTGAAAGCTGTCACTCAAAAGAATCATTCCAGTAAGCCTGAGTAATCCAATTCCATCAAACCAGTGCACACACTTTCCTAATTAAAAACATTCCCGAGGAACTAGGCGCCGATTACAAATTACTGTTTATAAATTTTGAGAAACATGGATCCGGAAACAGAGAAGAGAAAAGAGAACAGAGGGATTAGAGAGGAGAGGGGGAAGAGAGAAATGGGGAGAGGGAGGAAGGATACTGCCTAACTCACCAGAAAAAAAAATTGTTTTCAACTTTGATTGAAAGATTTAATTTCAGGCCATACTTGTTTTAACTGAATGACGTCCCTCCAGGCACGAGAAATTCTGTGTCACGTTTCATGCTAACCTGTCGTCTTTTTCTAAATTATTTTTGATGCCAGTGTTAGCAGCTCTCAAATGGGGGCTGGGGGATTGGGACCAAAGATTTGTGCCTGCCCAGGTTTGTTGTCAAATTGACAGAAACAAATCAAGATAAAGGAACAATACTGCAAAATGCTGATTTAAAACTAGAGAAGGCGTCTAATTAAAAACCAAATAGAACATTCACTCTCTGCTCGTTCCTTTAAGATGAAGGCAGATATTTGTGGGGGGAAAATTAGAAATCTGCTTTGCTGCCAACGACTAAGCATAGATAAACCCAGTGGAGCAGAAAATTGCATCCATGCTCAGATATAAGGGTGACACACCAAATTTTATTAAGTATTTGCGGGGGGGGGGATTGGAAATCCAACCAGCTTAGTTTTTCAAAGGGAGCACATGTGCAGTGGGGAGCTGAGCTTCATTTGAGTTGAGTTTAAAAAGAGGCTGTCAAGGGCTTTCTTGTAACTTTAAAAATTATTTATTGCTTCCAATAAAACCTTTCAGACTCAAATCTGTTTCATTCCCAGATGTGTCCCTACTCCTTCTCTGGTCCCCCCGCCCCAACTTGTCCATATGGAAGCTCAGTGACTGCAGGGCTGCCTATGGTTCCTGCCTTTGGGTTAGTAAATAAAAATCATAACCCTGAATGATGGGAGCTTAAAAATAAAGCGCTTGAAGAATCAAATGAACTTTAGCAAAATGAGATTTGAGGTTGAATAGCTCAGATTCCATCTCTTTCTTGGCTCCATTTCACGTCAACAAAACTTAAAAAAAAATTTTTTTTTTACCTTGAATATGCTTGGATCTGCTTGGCTAAATGTCCCTACTGCCCTGCACCCATTTCATACAGCTTAGCCTTCTGTATGTCATGAAGGTTATAAATCAGTGTTGGCAGGAGTCTGTCAGCTCCTACTCCTAGGGCTCCTGAGCTCTCCTCAGGCTCAGGGAGGGAAGGAAGTCTCTGTTGCCAGGCCACAAACACCTATGACCTGATGCAACCAGGGCAAAGGAGGGGATTCTGCTGGGAAATTTCAGGAGAGAACAGGGCTGTTGTGTATCTCAGTTGGTCCTTGAAGGAAGGAAAGAATTTTACTGGGCAGAGACTGGCAGGTTGGGGGATGAAGAGTCTACTTTAATTATGGGAGTGGTGGCATGAACAAAGGTTATGGAGGCAGGAAAGGGAAGAAAAGGGGATATGGGGGGCAAGGAATGGAAAAGTGAGCTAGAACCAGATGGTGGAAGGCCTTGAATGCCAGGTAATGGGACCCACTTCAAGTGTCTGACCAGAGGGGCGCCATGACCAGGAGGCAGATGGCTAAGAATTCACTGGCAGCAGTGTGAAGGAAGAACTGGGGACATGACAGGGTGGAGCCAAGGGGATGAGGCAGGAGGCCACTCCAAGAGACCCGGGGAGGGAGGACATGAATTAGAGGTCGCAGGGGTGGGGAAGATGGCTTGAGGAGACTGTGCCAAGGCCAGAGCCACAGCATCCGTCCGCCAGCTTACTAGAGCTGGGGAGTGAGGGAGTGCTTCCTTCCCACCCACTCACTTCTCATCCCCCTGCAATGTGGGTATGACCTTATCGCTACTGGAGCCGCTCTCCCCAGGGAGAGCCAAGTCTGCAGGCTTCCTCTTGTCCTCCCCCCATGGGCATCTCTGCAGCTACAAATATCTCCTCAAATGGGTCCTCCCTCAGCAAGCAGAAAATATGTCTTCTCTCCGTGTTCCCATGCACTCTATTGCTTCTCCAAACAACCAAAAAGACGTATGTAGAAAGCGCTGGCAGATTATGGCCATCACCTTCAGAGTTAGGAAGTGACCACGCAGCATCACTGGCCACAAGCTGCTTCTTTTATTCTAGTGTTTCTTCTTGGTCTTCCTGATGGAAGATGCTAGTGTGCACCAGGTTTAATGGAATCACGTTCTGTGGTCACTGTGGCCTCATAGAACGATGACTTTCAAAGCAGAGTACTCTGGCGCCGAGGGCCAGTCTGGCTGCTTTCCTGCTGTGGAACCTGGGGCACCCCCTTTACGTCTATGGCTGGAGGTTTGCTCAACTGGACAATGAAAGGACAGAATGAACTTTAAGCCCCTTTCTTACCCTAAATATATCCACTTTGGATCCTAAGATCTTAGAAACAGAGCTAAATCACAAGATAACATAAACCTTACAAGTCCCACATTCTCTAAGTTTGCTGTTGTTCAGTCATTTTTCAGTTATGTCCAACTCTTTGGGACCTTTTCTTGGCAGAAATATTGAAGCAGCTTGTCGTTTCCTTCTCCAGTTCACTTTACAACATGAGGAAACTGAGGCTAACAGGTTTAAGTGACTTGCCCAGGGTCACACAACTAGTAAGTGTCTGAGGCCAGATCTGAACTCAGGTTTGCCTGAATCCAGGTGTGGTTGGCACTCTATCTACTCACTGCAGCACCTAGCTGCCCTCTGTAAGTTATAAAAAAGCTAATACAAGGAGATTTTCTTCCCAGGACAATTAATGTATTTTGACATATCAGAAGCCAGTTGGCCACTATTCTTTTCCAAGAGAAAACACAATTAGTTTTCCTAAATCTCACCCCTCTTCGTCAACATGCGAGTTAAAGAAAGTGACATTATCCGCACTTTACAGATGAGGAAACTGAAGTTTCAAGAGGTCAAGTGATTTGCCTGTCTGCAAACAGTTGGTAGGTATCAGAGCCTGAATTCAAATTCAGCTCTTCCCTAACTCCAAGTCCAGCCCTTATGTGTGACTTCTAGTCTAGAAAGGTTTCATTGGGCACTGAAAGTGACATGTTCAGGGTCACCTGGACTGGAAATGTCAGAGACCAGACTCAGATCCTCCCAGTTCCAAGCTGGTCCCCTCTCTGCCAGGCTGCAGAGCTAGAGAAAAGATGGAATTACCACCCAGGAACACCAGAGAAGATTTACCTTTAAGTAGGAGTGGCATGAAGGGGATTTTGGGAGGCTTCATCTTTTTGAATGCATCTCTGTAGGCTTTATGATTCAGGGAAGGGTCCTGCAGAACCATTGAAGAAACAAAGAGAAAATGAATGAACTACAAATATTTGAAATCCACCTTATTAGCCTCACAACATGAAGGTAGTTTAGCTCTGAAGAGCTCCCTTTCTCAGGATGGAGAAGGTTGTCAATTTTTAAAGAGAATCAATGGCCCAAACAGTGAACAGAACCCATACTGTCGCTCCTTGTGAATGGGAAATGACTTTGGAAGGTCTTAGACTGGCCTCATGTGCAGAGCTCAAACCAGAAATTCCTAAGGCAGGTTGGAGGTGAACAGGTGGGTGGGGAGGCTCATCTCGTCTGTGTCATCACAGCTGGGTGGGTGGGTGTAGGAGAGGAGAGGAAGTGTCTAGCCCCTGGATAAAGCCACTGAAGCTTCTGCCCCAGAGGCAGGCTTGGCAGTGAAGGAAGTGTTCCCAGAATGTGGATACCATTACTGCCACCACGAGGGCAGTGAGGTCATAGAGGAAGAAGTGGCTGTAGGAGAGGGTTGTTGGGGCCCTTGAAATTTCCCACCCTAAGGAAAACCCTCAGCCACCCCCCTCCCTGGCTGGGTCTCTGCCTACATGGATTCTATCCTGTTTCCTTTTTGCAGCATAATTTCCATCATGAGGTTCCCTTGTTGTTATTACATCTTCAAAGAAAAATTCACCTCCATCCACATCCTAAATGATCCACAGAGACTTCAGAGAAATGATAGAGCCCCACTGATCTTCTCTAAAAACACTCTCTAAATAACACTGTAATACTCCTCAAATAATTCTAAAAATGGGAAAGAGCTGAGGGCTAGGGAGCTATTTGTTTTCCTCTTTCATACTGTTTCACATTTCAAGGGAGCTTTGGGGGATGACTTCAAATATTTCTTCTGAAAATCATCCCCCAAAGCCATTCCCACACCTTTCCACAAGGAATGGACATACTCCATCTCTGACACCATCTCCCTTCAAACCATAAGCTGCTTCTGAAACAAGCATGTGCCTCCCGGAGCATTTCACACCATGGGGAGAGAAGGAAATGGCCCAAATGCTGAAAGAATTTCAAGCCATTGATCAGATGGGAGTACTTACTGTTAAACTCTCCAACTCAGAGAAAAGCTTCTTAAACTTCCCGGGGATTTTCTGGAAGAAAAAAAGCCAGAGGACAAAGGGTAAATAAGTCAAGGGATGCAAAGGAGAGTTTTTGTTAAGTTTTGTTCAGCTGTGTTACGTTTCTGAACATAAAAACTCTCAGTGAACTGTGTCCTGGTTGGGTTTCATCACTTCTTCCTAGTGTTCTTAGCAAGATAGTCCTGACAAATATCACTGAGTATCGCAGGGTAGAGAGGCCACTCATTCTGAAACCTATCGAGCCTCATTAGACATTCTACACAACAATGATCCTTTAATGAAAACTTCTTGGGTTTCAATTCCATCCCCTGACTTTGATGTATTTTCTATTTGTCTTTAATAGTAATGTTGAGCTTGAAATAATAATGTAGGCTGGCATCTTCTAGGTAAATGGCCTAATTAGCTTTCAAGGCAGTGAGTGAAAGTGTCAAAAAATGATGTGCTCGGACCTACTTGGTTGAAGGAATCCTGGGGCAGGTCTCTGATTTTGAATATACAGCCATTTCAATAGGTGGCCCAGAAGGTTACCAAGCCAAAAGACAAATTGTAACTAGTCCACAAGAGAGCCCAGGCGGTGCCCTGTGGAACACTCTGCTGTGTGGCTTGGACAGGCTCACAGATGAGCAGGCCTTCCTGGGAAGGGAATGAAATTATGTTACCTTGCAAAAATCATAGTTTTGTAGGTGTGGGGCTGCCTGGACCTTCGCAGCGTCAGGTCACAAACTCTATGACCAAGTACATTGTTTTTGAGAGTTGCTGTGCCTGAAAAATTTGTCTCCTTTTGGCCAACCTGGCAATGTGCCTCTTGGAACTGAGTTAGGCTGGTCCTTAGGATGGCAACATACAGGTCATTACCCAGTCTTTACTCAAAGCCTTTCTCATTCAACCAGCGTTTATTAGGTGCCCACTATGAACCAGGAGGCACTGTCCTAGGTGCCAGGGACAGATACAAAGACAGCTTTAAAATTTCAGGTGCTTTCTAGCTGTGAGAATTAGAATGCCTCTGGCAGAAGACTACCTGTGACTCAACGTGTTATCTTCCCTGATGGTATTAGTGGAGATAAGAGAGTAACCGAAGTACCATCTCATGGGAAGGGGATTAGGCTGGCTCTGTTTGGTGCGGGGGGCGGGGGCAGAGGCAGAGCCAGGAGCAATGGGCTAAAGTTGCCACGAGGCCCACTGAGGCTCAATGCCTAGAAAAAATTTGCTAACAAGTGGAGCTGTGTCAGGGCGGAATGGGCTGCCTCAGGAGGGGGTGAGCTCCCCATCCTTGGAGGTCTCCAAGCAAGGCTGGATGGTCACTTGTTGGGCACACTAGAGTAAGGATTTCTTTTTGTGTATGCACTGGATCATAATGGTTGCTGTCATCTCTTTCATCTGTCTGTCAAAGTCTACGATCTCATGAGAGCCTCCAACTCTTTTCTTCCCCATCTGCCAAATAATACCCTTTGGACATAGGGAAGAAAATGATGGCAATGTTTGCATATTTCAATGCACCGAGCACCTACAATTTCACATAAACCATCTAGGGCTTAGTAGGCAGCCTTAGACAATTATCTGTGGCTCATAAAGATAAACCATCTTGCCCAGGGTCACACAGCTAGCAGGTGTCAAAGGTGGAATTTGAATTCAGGTCTTCCTGAGTCCAAATTCTGCTTCTGTAGAACTGTGAATATCTCATCAGTTCCAAGGAAGTCACAGCTCTCTGCTCATCTCTTGTAGAATTTCTTTGGCTTTTTCTTTTCTCTCCTGGCTTGGAGATACCAGAATTATATGAGACACTGGTGGTACATTCACTAGACTGAGTGAGGATAGGATAGGGAAGGAAATGAGAGCTAGTCTTGAAACTAGGAAGACATGGGTTCAAGTCCTCTTCTGGCACATACTGGCTAAATGCCCTTAAACAAACGCCTTAACATCTCACTGATCTTTAGTCAACTATCTGGGTTGTAGAGCAGGTGCTAGCTAACCTGCATTAGTAAAGGGAGTTTCCTTCTCCAGGAGGTCCCACAGTTCTAGTCCCTAACCTTTGCCCTCTGAGGGGGAACTTGAAGACCCGGAATTATTTGAACACACGATTTTTCTAGACATTTCATTCTTTTCTTTATTACAGATTCAGATTTCTTTGACTATTGCTTCCTGGTTGATATCTATACATTAGTTCCTGGCTTTGGGGATCATTAATCGATGTAATCAGGCCACAGTTAAGGCTGTTGCATTTGTCATTCATTCAAACAGAAATAGCCAGAACCAAAATATTAATCCCAGCAGAACTGACCCTACCTAAGGCTTCTCATCCTTCAATTCCCCTTGTTTCCTAAACAGTCTTCAAATTGCTATGTTCTCCTTTTCAATAAATGGAATTTTTTTCTCGTGTTTTAATACAGCTCCTCAGAACTCAATACATTTACTTAGGTTTTTTAAAATAGAATATATTCACTTTTTAAAAGTGTTTCAATTAAATCTTTCCAAAGGCAGTCTTTTCACAGAAGCCCTTCCCACTCCGGTTAAAGGAACCCCACCAATGGTTCTCTGATCTCAGCTGCTTACCTCCCAGGTCTGAGACAGCCGGCTGACTGATGCAGTGTTGAGACCCATTACAATGGCAAAGAAAGAATTCAGGTTTCTTTGGGCTTTGCAGCTGTTGGAATAAAAGGAAACTGATGTCACTTTGAGGTCAATGTCCATTCTTTAGATAATCCCAGAAGAGAAAAGGTGAAAAGGATCTCCTTGGCCCCTGAGGTCAAGCGTGGAGAGCTGAGGGGTCCTCCCCAGGGGCATCCACTCCTGACCACTGCAGTGGAAAGCTAGGGACCACTTCAAATACTCCCAGAGAGCTTTCTCACTCACTCACATTGCTAGTGATAATAGTAGACAGTTGCCACAATTAATGTCCATGTCTTTGAAAGTTTGTAAAGTTCTTTCTTCTACCATCCCCATAAGGTAAAGGTTAGTAGACATGCTATTATTCCCCTTTGACCCTGACCATGGTCATATGGCTAACAAGTTTGTGAATTATGAGAAGAACGTTTTCCAATATTTCCCCAGATAATCCCCTTTAGGAATATGGGGCCTTCTAAGCACCCTCAGGCCAATTTACATTATCCCCCTTCCCTCCCCCTTCCTTTAGAAATGTGACAGAAGGCATCATGCTTTTCATCTGCCTTTATCACTCGTCCTGCAAACTCTGCTTAGAACATTCACCCCAGCTGCTTGTTCTCATTCTAAGGATTCATGAATCAACCCCTTGTTTTCATTTTTTTCCAGTAAAGATCCCATCACCCCATACAGCTCATCTGCAACTTATTTTCCCTTATAAATCTATATTCCATTTATCTCCATCAAAATAGCCCCAGGGTAGAGCCATAATAATATGAATATTTATGATGGACAGCTATGGAAATGCTATTCATAAAGCAATGCTTCTAATTCAAACTCTTAAAGAAGAAATACTGACTTATTTCAACAAGCCTTTGTTGGGGACCTGCTCTGTGCTGGATAACACAGAAAGATGAAATCATCCCTTGCCCCCACAGAGCGTGTAATCAAGGATGTTTAAGGCATATAAGTCAACAATTGTGTTACAAAACAATACATGTGACTAGTGGATTGGAAAGAGGTACAAACCAAGTGCTATTTGAGTTCCAAAAGTAGGGGGCAGATCAGGTAAGACTTCATGGAAAAGGTGGCATTTGAAGTGGGCCTTAAAAGATGCCTGGGATGAGTGAACAGCTATTTTAAGTATAAGGAATGGGGTGAACTAAGGCCCAGAGATGGAAAAGTATGAGGTGTATAGGGAGGATGGTGAACAGTTCAATGTGACTGAAGGAGAGACTAGGGAGGAGAAAGGGCATGAAATAAAACTGGAAAAGTAAGGAGGCACCCGTTAATGCCCTGAATGCCGGGCTGAGTGGCTTGAATGTTAGCAGAGAGGTGACAGCGAGTTGTTGAAGGATTTTCAGCAGAGAACTGGTATGATCAGATCTGGGTCTGGACAAGATCAATCTATTAGCAGTACAAAGAGTGGCTAGAATGAGGAGAGAGTGAGGAGGCTAGGGTGAGGGGCTGAGACGGTTAGATGAATAGGAGCAGGGGGATGGCATCCCAGTAGAGGGGGTGACTCTAGAACATCACTGGCATGAGACCGTGACCGGGAAGACTGCCAGGTGGGGGGGAGCAACTCACCCCCATCCACCACCAAGTGTATTCCTAGTTTAAAGAATGATTCCTGTTAATCAGATGATAAATATTCTATTGCTCATTCTCTCCTGTCTGCTGTCTGGGGCTCTCTAAATCTGCCACCCTGGGGGCAAAATCCCAGTCCCTGGGCCATTAGTGATATCTCTTTATGGGGTTTCTCCAAGGGACTCTGAGCCCCCTGTTCCTGAATCGAGTTACCAGCTAAGCAGCTCGCCCACCACTGCCTTTTCTCTGGTGTAATTCCTCTACCCCGACATCCTTTTTTATCTCTCCTTCAGACTTAGCCCCATCCCCAGTATGAGTAAATAAAGTCATAAGTTAATGTCTCCCAGGTGCTTTACATCAGCTCCAACCCGACATGTTTCCCATACTCCTTGATTCATAGATTAAGAAGAATAACAGTATTTATAATAGCACTTTGAGGTTTGCAAAGTGCTTTACAAATATTATCTCATTTGATCTTTACAACAACCCTGGGAGGTAGGTGTTATTAATTACTTTGATTTTACAGGTGAGGAAACTGAGGCAAACAGGTGAAGTGACTTGCCCAGCCAGGGTCACACAATTAATAAGTGTCTGTGGCCACATCTGAACTGAAATCTTCCTTACCCCTAGTCCCAGAATGCCATGTGCTGCACTACTGAGCTACCCTGGTTTCACTTTGGAAGGAACCACGAATATCATTGTACAGACCAGCAAAGTGTGTTCCCAGAGATACAAAGTGATTCACTCAGCAGCTTATGTATGTACGTAATAGAGAAGTGATCCAAACAGGTCCTTGAACTCTAAGTCCAGCACCATTTCCCAGCATCCCGAAGCTGTTCATCCAAGGGCTTTCGCTTTCACATTCCCTTTTCTTCTCCCTCCTTCTACTATCTTTCCAATGAAACATTACAGTCCTGGCTTTTTGTTACATCATATTTTTAAGTGTTCATAGATTGTTACTCAGAAAATATTCAATTACTTGGTATTCTCCCTTTTTCTTTTCTCACAAAGCATATGGAACCATCCTGTACTTCAAATTGACTGAATATGCTGAATTCCTTTTTTTAAAAAAAGCAAAGTAAATTTGTAATGTTATAAGAACATTCCCAAGAGTTCCACAGGATGAGAAAGCAATTGGATGCATGGGCTATGGTCTTGACTTGGAATCTTTAGCACTTTAGCCCAAGACCTGACTCCTCGAAGATGCTAAATGACTGATCTGCATGGTGGAGACAGTGCCCACACTCTCCACAAGGTCGAGGATCCTTTGCCATTCTAGCGAGGACGTGTCAGCTCTCATCCACGGAGATCTCTGTTGACTACCTTTAATTCATCCGGTCTATATCTTGTTTTTACAGAGTTGTTTATGTGTTGTTCCTCCCCTTAGGACATAAACTTCTTGAGGGCAGGCTATTTTTGCCTCTTTTTTTGTATCCCCAGCATGCAGCACATAGTAGGCATTTAATGAGTGCCTGTTGACTAGACTTCCCTTGTGTATATCTTAAAATTCTATCAATCTGCTGAGTCAATCATAGATGGAGCAATAACATTGACCTCGTCAATGAACCCCTTGTGTATCAGAATGAGGCTGCTTCACCACCAATCCCCCAAAGACCGAGAACCACACAAGACTGAAGCTGCCTTTCCAAAGAGGGAAACCCTCCCATAAGCCAGGTTAAAAGACCCTGCCCAAGTGCCACTAATTTCACATTCACTGATCCTCCCACAACTTTTGTAGAGTGTTGAAAAGTTTGTGAAATGCCTTCTCATCTGAATCTCACCACAACCCTGTAAGGTAGGTGCTATTATCCCCCATTTTACAGGTGGAGAAACTGAGGCTTTGCTAGGTTAAGGGACTTCTTTCCCAGGGTCACAGAGCTAGTAAGTGGCCAAGGCAGGATCTAACCCCGGGTCTTCCTGACACCATCTCCAGTACCCTATCCACCTTACCACATAGCCTCTCCCTCTGGTTCCAGGGAAGGATAATAATAACGAAAGTCTGAAAGACTGTGGTGATGGCAAAATCAAGTTCAACCACTGGCCCTTCACTGTAGGTTGCTACATAGCAAATTCCCCATTGGAGCAGCCAGACTTCTTAAGGAAACTAAGTTACCTTATCCCACAGAGTTGGAGAGGGAGAGGTTGGGGAGAATGTGGTTCTAAGGGCTCATTTGCTATGAAAAGGAATATGCAAATAGGATGTCAATGAGCAAGGAGAATTCCGTTTCTTTGTGTAAATGACTAATTTCCCTTGGTCATTCCAACTGGAATAATAATAAGGAAATTAAGGCTACATTTCTATTTGTATTCCAAGGGATAGAGTCTTTCTCACTAGCACAAGAGGAAGGGGCCAGAGGGAGAAGAGATATTCCAGTGTCACTGCCCTCAAGGAAGGGATACACTTACCCTGGGATTGGAGCTAGGTGGCCCTGAGATTGACTGTCTCTTTCTACTAATGACATCATCCCTTGACAAATTTCAGCCGATTATTCAAGGGACAGGTCTAAGCCAACCAGGGGTGTCTCAGGCCACATTTTGCATCGATGGTATTAGCAGAGGCACAGATGGAGGCCGGCACAATAATATCTACTTAAGAAAAAGTCTCATGTTGGTAAAAGATTCCAAGCGGAGACACGTACGGGAGGACTCTTTGGGCAGGCGGGGGGGGGGGGGCCCAAGGGAACCTAGGGAAGCAGAGAGCCCAAAGATAAGCTCTATTTCCCCTGGGCAGTGGCTGCAGCTGCACTCTCCTGACTGCTTTTGTGCACTGCTGGGATTCAAAATCTAACAGCATCAGCGTAAGGAGAGGAGGGTGGCTGAACAAGGGCTAGCCCCAAACCTTTCATTGCATTGTCTGGAAAAGGCTGATTGGGAGGTTGGGGTAGAGGTGGGCCCCACATAAGGGGTTGATGAAAGGCACAGCCTTCCCCATGGCCACTGAAGCATGGTGGGGACTGATCCGAGGGCTAGAGGAAGAAGAGGAGGAGGAGGAGAGCATAGTAAATGCTTATCAGATAGCATCCCATTGGATCCTCATAACAACCTTATGGGTTCAGTCCCCTAAATCCTATGGGTTTCTCTAGCCCTAATCTAAACATTTACTGCAACATGTAAATGTTTCAAATTTTTGAAAGATGCTCAGTCCAAACTCAGCCAAGACTATTAGCACCCTAGCACAGGACCTGATTCCTAGAAGGTGCTTAATGCATGTCTTTTGATTGACTGGTCAATCTGCATTGTTGGAGACAGTGCCCACACTCTCCACAAGGAAAAGGATCCTTGTCACTCTGTCATTTCCTGGCTGGGGGCCCTCTACAAGCTGCTGCCTCAGTTTTCCCATATGTAACACGAAGAGCTCTTCACACTCTAGACTCTTGGGGTCCATCCCAAAGCCCTGGGCCCCCTGTCCACCACGCGCCCCCAGGGTTCACACTTACTGAGCAGCGATTTTGATGAATTTTTTCACCAGCTGGACTCGCTTACAGAGCTGGCTGCAGAGCAGAATCTCCGTGGCCACCCACAGCTGGACTTCGTTGCATCTTTGGAGCAGGAGACTGAGGTTCGCCGTGTTCTCGCTGCTGCCTTGTCGGCTGAACGTGAAGTAAATCAGCTCTTGCTGTGGGGACAGAACTGGCTCGCAAAGGCTGGCTCCCTTTTCTTTTCCTATTTCTAGATGGGGGTGCATTGCTATGGCATTTGAGGGCCTTGGTGTTGGTCACTCAATGCCTTCCTCAACCTGAAGGTCACAGAATCAGAGGCCTAGAACTAGGAGGGTCCTTAGGGGACGCAGAGGAGAAATGGAGATGTTCACCGAGGAGGGAGAAATTCTCCTCCTTGAGAATGAAGGGATGACTCCTGAGGAGAACGTAGAGGGGGCAATGGAAAATGGATGATGATACTTGACTGAAAACTTCAAAAAGCACAATACAAATGTTAGTTCTCATCACGCTGCTTCTTGCATTCTCCATTTCAGGCAAAATGGCTATTTACCCTACACATTATCCCTTGTGCTGCCCCCTTGACTTGGCCCGAGCGTCCCCTGCTCCTGGTGTGCTTTACATCCTCACTGTGGGCTCTGAGCATCCCTGACTTCCTTCAAAGCGCAGTCGAGGGGCCATCTCGTACACCCACCGTCCCTCCCTCTCCAAATTTACTGGGTGCAGCTTGCTTCCCTCTAGTACAATGTAGGCACCTAGTGTGCAGCAGCCTGTTTCTTGCTTCATCTCTGTATGTCCAGTGCCTCACACAGCGTCATAGAGTAGATAGATACTCGATGAGTATTTGTCCAATAATATTAAGAATGTTTCAGATAAGGACTGAACTGGATGACACCAAAGGTCCCTTCCAACTCTTCTAGCACTCTACACTGTGTCGGTTTTTAATTCCATTCACAAAACACCTATTCTGTGCTCACTACACGATGGCACCTTGGAGAGCCTTCCCCAGGAGCTGCACTGAACTGGAGGCTCTCTGAAAGCTCACCCCGCCAACCGTCCTTTCCCCCACTGTTTACCTCATGAATTGAGTTGAACAGGCCCCAGTCAAAGTGCATTAATTCCATGGCCAGGTCCCATGTGTTCATTCCCAGGATCCTCAGTGACCTTTGCTGGGATTCCTCGCTCTCCACCAGTGGGCTCTAAATTGATGGGCAGAAGCAAAGGGAGCTTGAGCAACTCCCAAATGTTTCTCGCTAAATTAGTTACTCTACGGAGGCCCCGACAATAATCTTTGATGAGTGCACTTAATTTTTCTTCCCGTCTGTTCTCCTTCTATGAGTTACAACCTATTTGGGAGACAGGCTCAGAAACCAGAGTCTGCGATCAATGACTTCTGATTGAATTAGCCCCTCTCTCACACACAATATAAAATCTGATTACAGGACCCTGCCCCTGGAGTAAGATAATAAAAGCAAAATCCCTGAAATGGCTCTCATTCCTTATCTGCATGAGTCTGTGGGCCACTGAGGAGAGTGGAAAAACCAACAAAAGGGATCGCATGGGCCTTGTGCATAAAGATGGACGTGAGTTGTATATGGAATACGTTTCATTTTCTTTACCTTCCATGAACAAGGAAAACTGTATAAAAATATCAATGGACTGGGACAGATAAAGCAGGAGGAGACCAAAGCTGCATAGAAAATTGGTACTAAAATTAGTTTTGTGTATCCGAGATGTACAGGGGATCATGAGACACAGAGTCAGATATATTTTCTCTAGATGACAGAAATGACTTCTCCCCTCTCTGCTCTGTCCCTGTGACAGGCTGTGAATACTTTGGTGGTCCCTTTCCAAAGTGGTTTAATATAATACCACTTCTCCCAAGAAGGACCTTCATCCCTGGGCTTTCCCAGTTATCAATCAGTCAATCAATAAACATTTATTAAGTGCCTCCTGTGTGCCAGGCTCTGTGCTAAATATTAAGCAATGATTAACAATTTGGTTTTTCACATGGTGACAAGACTCAGCAGGGTCAGTTTCTCCCAGGCATCGATTCATTCTTTATATTTAAATCCATAGTGCCTGGTACATTGCCTGGTATACAGCAGTCATCTAATACATGCTCTCTGAATGAAGAAATTCATGTATAATTCATATTTTTGAAAGTTCTTTTGTGTAAAAATGTTTTTTCATAAAAACAGAGAGTGCCCAAAGTAGGACTTCTCTCACGCGTTTTTAAAGCCCCTCTGCTTTCAGGCATTTCTTAAAAAGTATCTTCTGTGTGCTAGGCTTTGGGGATGCAAACCCTCCCACATTCTACTGGGGGAAATGTAATGAACAAACACAAGAAAATTGGAGGAGCAGGAGAGCACAGACACCTTGGGGGATTCCCAAGGCTGCTGCTTCTCAGAGCACAAGATGAAATTTCCCTGAAGAATTGGCTGGCTAGCCAGTAGCTGCATAATATCTCCTCTAGGGAGCTTTGCAAGGGGGCAAGAGAGCCAGGGGGCACTCTGAGTCCACAGCACAGCTCAGCACTGCCCATTCTGACTCCACCACGTGCAGTTATGAAATAGCTGGAGTGTGTCTTTGGACTTTTATAATCCTTCCCATTTCCTTGCCTAGATGCTTCATGCTGCCCAGGGTCCCCCGATATGATTCCCTCCCTTAGTCACATAGCCTCCTCTGGTCTTTTCCTGCCCTCAAAGTTCATCTGCTGGCCCGTTGCTTCAGGACCCTACTCCCTGTTTTCCAAAAGGATTTTGACATCACACACGCATTCTAAAAGCAAAGCCCTAAGCCCAAAGGGAATCCTGGGCCGCAGAGGCAGGTAGAGACAGAGCATGCCTTGGCAGGTAGACAACTCATCTGTAAAATGGGGATTACCGCATTGCTCATTTCCCAAACCCTCATTGTCCTGAGCTGGGGTACCTACTTCTCAAGGTCATGGGGAGGTTCAAGTAGGATAATGTACATGAAATAATGCTACGTCAAAGTCAGCTTTCACTCTGATGATGGAAACATCAGTTTTAAACCCATGCACCAATCAGAAAATTCCTAATTGTAGCTTTCTAATTGAAGTGTCGACCTGAAAAATAAATTAAACTCAATCCAAATCTGAGACCTGGAGAATGTTAGAATCAGAAGAGACTTCGGAAATCATTTGACTAAACCCCTTCCTTTTACAGATGAGGAAACTGAGGCCCAGAGAAGGAAAAGGATTTGGCTGAAGTCCTGGGGCTCCATCCTGCAGCCAACTCTTTCAATCCCAGGAGGCCCGAAGGATAAAGTTCTGCAAAGTCAGCCTGCATTGCTCATGGGAAGCCCAAGAGCATCCAAGGAAGAATCTCAGCAAGAACTGAAAACAAAAGCCCAAGCCCGGCTTTTTATCAGCCTCCCAATTCTCCCTCAGGTCGGAAGTGCCTTCCTCCCACTCCTCTTTAAACAGAGGAGGGGGCTGCAAACCTTCCCTCCGCAGCTGCCTTCAGGAATTCAAACGGTGTAGGTGAGTTAGATTGCACTAAAGGCCCGGGCTCTCTTTTGCCCTGAAGGCTGCCCAAGGTAAGGTCCCTTTCTGAGCCGGACTTCCCCAGGCTCACCAGACATCAGTGCTGGAATTCAGGTCCTGGGGAAGCGTTCAACCCAAGTGCTGAGCTTCCTTCATACAGGGAGACTACCGTGAGCAGAGTTTAAGTTGGAGAAGAGGGTGGGACGTTGGCAAGCCTGCCAGATTTGGAACTGGAAGTCCAAGCTTGGCTACTTATTCCCCAGAGGAGCTCTGGCAAATCTGGTTTCCTTTTGGGCCTGACTCCCCAAATGTAAAAGGGAGGAGGTGGCCTCATGGGTCCTCCTTCAGACTCCATCTGTGCTGTCCCTATTGGGTCGAAACCTCTCAGATCACCGTGTCTCCTTTTGAGATGGGAACCTGAATGGTTATCTGGGAAATAAACCTCTAGACTTGAGAATTTTCCCCAATGTCTATTATCTTGATATTTACAAGGCCTGCTTCATTTTGGGCTCCATTTCTTAGCACCCAGCACATGCTGGTGTCGCAACACATGTTTGTTGATTGACCATCAATCATTTCAGAACTATGGCTGTTGTTTTTTGTTTTGTTTTTTGGCCTTATACTTGAAAGCACATTCGGAGGAAAGCTTCCTTTTTTTCCTTCCTTCCTTTCTCTTTCTTCTTTTCTTCTTTCCCTTCCTTCCTTCCCTCCCTCCCTTTCTTTCTTCCTTTTTTCCCTTCTTTTCCCCTTCCTTCTTTCTGTCTTTCTTTTCTATTTGACAAAAAGACTGATGATTCTTACCAAAGTCTCTGACAGATCCTTCCGGTAGACATAGATCCGACTTGATAGCTCCAGTGATTTTGAGATGGCTAAGTCATTTGGTTGAAGTTCATGCTTTTCTTTAAGGAAATAAAAAGAAACAGGATTGTGAGGAAAGTAACAGCACTGGTGACATGATGCCTAAATAGCAGCATCTCACAGAGAAATGCCCTTAAAAATAAGTCTGTCTTGAATTGGAAATGTGGTGTGACAATCCCATTATAACTCTGCTCTGCTCAGTTCAACTCCACAAGCATTAAGGCTCAGCTGAGTGAAAGGCAGGAAGGCCTAGGGCACAGGAGCCTGATCTTGGAGTTAGGAACATCTAGGTTTGAGGCCTGTCATACAGTAAGTGCTTAATGAATGCTTGTTGGTGATTGCTTCAAATGCGTGGATGACCATGTGTGACCATGGGCAGGTCACTTAACCTTCTGAGTGCCCTAGAAAACTCACTGAGTACAAAGGACAAATAGGCACGTTTGTGGAGGGAGTCTGCATACCAGGAGCTTCCCACATCAAAGAAGTCCACAAGTCCGGACTGCCAGCCCTCATCACCAGCCCCCTCCTGGACAAAAACAAATCACCCAAATGGGCAAAACTCTGTGCACCTCTCTTCTAAGGAGATCACTGATTTGTACACTCATTTCTGGGGGTCTGCTCCCTATCTCTCCTACCAATGGGCTTGTGACAGCTCTTCTCCTCACTGAGGGGTACAGAGGCCCCCTCCCCTCACCATGCCATAGTTAGTGATTGTGTTATACATAACTAAGGTAACTGAACCTGATCCTTGGAGAATGCTACGATAACGCACAAAGATTCCAGGTGAGAGATTCTTGAGAGAGATTCGAGGTCACAGAAAGGTGAGTAAAAGCCAGGGAAAGGAGTCAGAGGGAGGGGAAAGCCAGGGGAATCTCTGAAAATTGTTCTATTGTTCCTACAGGGAGAGTAGGGCTTTGTATGCTCAGCACCTATATTTACACTAGAAAATTTTATTTTAAGAAGACCTAAGTTCAAATTCTGCCTCAGATACTACTACTTGCCCGACCCTGGGAAAGTCACTTAACCGCTGTTTGCCTCAGTTTCCTAATCTGTAAAATAGGAATAATAATAGCACCTACCTCCCAGGGTTGTTGTGAAGATCAAATGAAATGATAATTGCGGAATGCTTAGCACAGTGCCTGGCACATAGTAGGCGCTATATAAATATCTGCTGCTATGACACATTCATAGGCTAGGACCTGCTCTGCTAAAATCCATTCAGGCTGGAGACTAAGCCTGTTGACCTTTCCCCTGCTCCTCCTCTTCCCCTCTCTGTCTCTCTGTGGCTGTCTCTCTCTTTTTAAACCAGATGCTTCCCTTGGGGCTTAGGAGGTGTTTACTTTTGTGTGTTTAAATTTTCACTTTGTTTCTTAAGTCAGCAAATGTGGCTCAGCTATTAATCAACGGAATTACTAAACTGTTGCTAGAAAGTGGCTTTGAGGGAGAGGATGGAAAAGATCTGGGAGGAGAGAGAAACTGAACACTGATACATCTTTCAGAATCTGATTTCTGGCTGGGGGCTCAGAGTCCAAGGAGAAAATTATGGGTTTATTTTAACAACTTCCCAGGGCAGAAAGAATACATCCAAAGGGTTTCTCTGAATGCGGGAAGCTAAGTATCTGGCATTGAGAGAGGCATCCACCATCACCCACCAACTAGTTCCAAAGGAACCCCTTTCCCAGAGGGGAGCAGGCCAAGGGAGCGGCTAGAGAGAGAGTCATGCCCCAGGGCAAAACTCAGCCCACACAAAGGGCCGGGAGAGTAAAAGTGACAGACTCCTTTGTCTGCCTCTGTACCAGTCACTCTTACAAGAGAGCGAGGATGAGGAGGAGAGAGGAAGGAGGCACAGAAAAGTGGAGAGGGAGAAGAAGGGAGGATGAAGGGAGAAAGGTAGAAAGAGAGGGGAGGGAAGGAGAATGGGTGCAGAGAGTGAAAGAAAAGGGGATGAGGAAAGAGAGACAAGAAAAAGGGAGGAAAAAAGCATTGAGGAAGGAATGAAGAGAGAGAAGAGAAAAGAAAGAGAAGGCAAATGAGAGACAGGAAAAAGAGGAGAGGTGGGGAGAAGAAGGGGAAAAGGAGAGGAGGTGAAGGGGATAAAAATGGGGGGAAGGAAGAAAGGGTAAGAAGACAAAAAATAAAAGGCACGGAGTGAAAGGGACAGAGAGGATGGCAGGGATGAGAAAATAACAGTTCTCCATTCTGAAGATGTCCCCACTGCCCTAAAGGGAATTAAGATGATGCACTTAAAATCAAGGTCACATTAAATACTGGATTTGTGTATTAAAACACATTACTTATAGGAGGATGAGCTACATGCAAAATAGATTTTTTAAAAGGCAGCACCACTAATAGATTTTAAATTACTATACCTCTCACAATGTGTGGGATGCTTCTAGGGATGGTCCATAATATGTCTATGCATATTAGAAATCTATAAACCGCTGATGAGTCTAATTTAATGGAGGATGAAAGTGGCATTTCACAGCATCATATAGATACTGGGCAATAAAAGATCTACTTATTAATTGCTAGATTCACAGAGGCCTCTCTGCTGATGGAGAACCTGCCTCCCAAAGCTCGGAGCACCTCAGTGATTGGCCTCTCAGGAGACTTTCTAGGAAGCGTGAATCCAAGCAAATGGGGCTGCCATGATCATCACCTTTTCTAACAAGACCTGTTCCCTTGATGGGTAAAGAATGACTTCACATTTAAATTTGTCATCTAATTTTGCTAGGCACTTAAAATGAAATTAACACGTGTCTGGTTGGAGAGATACACTTCCCTTTATGACAAATGTGCCTGAAATCTATTATAAAAATGGAAACAATACAGCCACTTAAATCCCAGCTACCATTTTTAAGGGGCTGGGTGTAAAACCTGAGCCTTGCGGGAGGTGGGGAGAGGAAGCCAGTTGAGGCTTCCAAAGCAGGAATTTCAACTGACCTCGGCTGGGGCAAGATTAGATGCATCAATCTGCATATGCAATTTGACTGGTTTGTATCCTCCACTCATTTGCCTCTAAGCAGTGAAACAATAGAAACTCACAAAGCTGTCTGGGAATTCTTTAAAGCTCCCACCCACGGGGAGGCCTTCTCCCCCGAGAGGGACGATGACAATGGACAAACAGCAATCCCATCTATGGACTGGGTTTTTCCACCTCATCCTTCTTCAATAACCTCACGGCCACTGTCAGTTCTTGCATCTCCCAGAGTTAAAGCACATCCTTTGTGCTCTCCAGGAGCAATGAGCTATTAAAAAGGGTTGCAAGCAAAACAGCAGGCCAGAGACCCTGGGCTGTGGCAGGCATGGGGGGAAACGGAGGGGCCCAGGAGGGTCACCAAGATCAATAGCCTCAGCTTGTAATCTGGCAGATTTTATTCAGGAGAGACAATAAGCCGTTGCGTGGGGCTACATAAATATCCACACAAGAAAGGACCAGCGCCCAGTCTAAATCCACATTGTCCATCGGAGGCAACATGGTTCAGAGATTCTTACTACCTGTGTTTGCCATATTTTTTCTTTCATTTCATAAAAAAAAGTTCCTAACCATTGGGTGGCGCGCCTCCCTCTCTCTCTCCCTCCCCCCCTCCTCTCCCCATTTCTCTTTCTCCCTCCCTCCCTCAAGCAATGTCACCCTTCAGCGGTTTCCTGGGTTAATTTAAATATGAAAATATAGGAACTTATCTAAGGTCTAAAATATGAAGAGCTTTGTACTCTACTTCAAAACCCTGGAGCTCCTTCCCTCGGTATTCCATTCTTGGGGAGAAAATTCAGCATCGAGCAGGACCCAAGAATTGGCTGTTGTCATGGCAACAAGGGGTGGCAATAGCCTTTCATTGTTCCCATCGTTGTCCAGCTGGGGACCCGAAGGGGACCGGTCCAACACCTTCTCGCCAGAATGTCACCCACCTTCTTACTGCAGCAGAGAGCACAAGAGACTAAGGATTCAAGCATAGGAAACGATTTACCCCCTGAGAAGGTGACAGCCACCAGGGCCAGGTCATCCTGAGCGTGTTGGAGCTTCCCGGCCACAATCTTGAGGATCTCCTGCACCGTGCTGGAAACCCCGGCCTTGATGCTGATGTAGGAGTGCTCCGTTATGTATACGTGGCAGAAGACTGTAAACGGGAGAAGGTGTGAGTGAGCACGAGAAAAGCATGCACCGGGCAAGAGTTTCCAAAAACCACAGCCCTGAGCGGGACCATGTCCCCGCCTACTATATAAATATAGCATAAAATGGACATCATATAAATGCATGCACATGTATGTGTGTATATACATACATATATATTCAAAGTGTGTATAGTCAGTCAACAAGCACGTATCAAGTGCCTACCATGTGCAGGAGCACCGGGCTAAGTGCTGGGGAAACAATCCCTGCCCTCCAGGAGCTTCCAGTCTAACAGGGGAGACAATAGTCTTTTTTTTTTTTTTGGCTAGGCAATAGGGTTAATTGAGTCCCAGGGTCACACAGCTAGTAAGTGTTATGTATCTGAGGCTGGATTTGAACTCAGATCCTCCTGAATCCAGGGCCAGTGCTCTATCCACTGTGCCACCCAGCTGCCCCAGAAGAGACAATATTCGAAACAAGCTATAGGCAGCTACCTTGGAAATGGCCACCAGAGGGAAGGCACAAGCAATAAGGGGAGTGGGAGAGGCTCCTATAGAGGGTGGGACTTTAGCAGGGAATTGAAGGAAGCCAGGAGGGGGAGATGAGAAGGGAGAGCATGCCAGGCATGGGGCAAAGCCAGGGCAAATACTTGGAGTGGGGAGATGGAGGGTTGGGGAGGCCATGTCCCTGGATCCAAGAGTATGTGCCAGGCAGTGAGGAGTAAGAAGATGAAAGGTAGGAGGGGGCTGGAGGATGAAGGGTTGAATGCCAAACCACATAGGATTGTAGATTTGATCCTGGAAGCCACAGGGATTTAGGGAGAGGGGAGATTGACATGGGGGGGGGCATTGCAGGAAGTCACATACAGAGACTGACAGATCTTTGTTTATCTGGGGAGTGCGGAGATGCATTCAGATCTACGCACCAGGTCATGTGTGACTTGTGGCCAACATCTACATATAGAATGAAGTGTCTATGCACTGTGTGTGGCACACACAGAAAATAATGGCTTTTCATAGGAGAGTGAGAGGCTGGCTCTGGGCACTGCTATCTAGCCATGTGACCACAGGCAAATCACTTAACTCCCCTCAGTTTTCTCATCAGTAAAATGGGCACCATGATGCCTGCAGCATCTGCCTCATCAGGCCAACATGAGATGTTCATAAAAGGCTTTGTAGCCTTCAAAGGGCTAGCTAAAAAAGTCCGTTCTCATCATTTGCCCCAAAGGGAATGTAATTACTGCTGTGGTATAATGGATCATAAGAGAGGCAGTGTGGGGTAGGGGTTCAGGCTTGCATGGTAGCTGTGTGACCCCGGCCAAAGGTCACTGCAGCTCTCTGGACCCCGGGCAGTTCCGAGATTCCAAGTTGGAGAGAAGGTGCTTGTTTGTTTATTCATTCTGAATTTCTCTGCGGATGAAATCTCTACTAGCTAGGCAGAACGATGAGGAAGATAATGCATTAGAAGATTAGAGGCTGAATGTGGGAAAGGACTTTAGAGGTTACCTATCCAACTGTCTTGTTTTACAGCTGAGGAAACTGAGGCCCAGAAAGATTGGCTGTGGGACAGTGATATGAAAGCCAGAGAAGGGGACAGTGATCAGAACTAGGATTTCATTGTCACAGGGAATTCGCAGGTGCGGAGAATCACTCCACCAAAGTAGTTCTGAAACTCCCCTTCCCAGCCGGGGGCACTGAGATGTTAGGGGTCTTCCTCAGGGTCAGCTACCACACTTAAGCCCTGGTGGATAGCTCTCTGCCTGCCATACACATGATACAGGGAAATAAAGCACTTTGTGTCCAGGGGGCTGATGAACTTTAACTTCTAGGCAGTCCGGTTTAAAGGCCTACTCCAGAAATTATTTTCCCATTCCTTTCACTGGAAAGTGATGGTTACATAGTCAGGAGGCACTCAGAAGCCTGGCAATCCCACCCCAAGAGTTAATGAAGCCCTTGGTATTTGTGGCCACCAGCCCCCTCCACTGGACCCACTCTCTGACTGAGATGGCGATGAATGAAGCAGGCCACCGGCCCGGCCCAGCCCAAGCCTCTTTCTCAAACCACATAATCCCTTCTCTGGACCCTTGGCAAGCAAGGTGAATGGGTCTCTGTAAATTCCCTTCATGGCTTAGCCAGTAGAGTAACAAGTAAGATTCCCACATGGCATCCTTCCTAGATATCCACCTGAGCCTTAAAAACCAGCCGCATCCCCCAAACAGATGTGAGTCCAGTGATTTGTCTGAAAACTGGCCGGACCCTAGATAATCTAAGGCAAGGTTCCATCTGCCTGTGCTGGGGCCTGGACTGCTTAATGTTCCCATCAATAATTGGGAAAAGTAAGCAAATCTGACACCCTGGGGCTAGGGGCCAGGCCAAAAAGCTCCTGGAGGTCAGAATGTGAGGCCAGCTGCAGCCAGAGGAAAGTCACTAGGAAAATCTTCTACCTTCTGCTCCCCCAGGAGGAAATGAGGGAGGAGGGGCCAGGCAGCTACTCACCTAGCCAGTGAAAGAACCAGGCCTTCTGAGGGGACCACAGGCTCAAACGTAGCCCTCAGTGTGGCACAGGACAACCCAAAGAGCTAACTGAAATGTAGTCTGCACTGGGAGTCATTGGAAGCCAAGCCAGGGAAGGCGAGAGACCCCTTGGCCTCTGCTTTGGTCTGTGGCATTGTGCCAAGTGCTGTACCAGAGGTGTTACGAAAGACACCAAGGTGAAGAGGCTTAGATAAGTGTAGACAGGGTGAGAGGGAGAGGAGGTGGGATGAGGAGAAGGCAGACAGAGATGGAGAGGGAGGGGAGAGACAGGGGAGGGGAGAGGCAGGAGGAAGTAAAGAGACAGGAGGGAGAGGGGAGAGAGGAGGGAGGGGATACTGTTCATGTGTGGCCACTGGAGGTCCCTCCAAAGGGACCTGGGATGGCTGCTGGCCTTCCCTAGGCAGAATGTGGTCCCACCCACTTCAAAGAATCAAGAAACAAAAAAGAGAAAGTCTAATCTGAAGAATGTCCAAATCTAATCCTCAGAATGTCAGAGAGAAAAGCCCTGGCCCCCTGGGCAGGGGATCAGATGCTGGCACTCGGTCCCTAGGCCAGAAAGAACGGTGACATCTCTAGATCCCTGGCCTGGTCAGCCGCATCACTAACCTAACACCATTTGACAAGTGTCTATTTTCCCTGCTTGTCAGGGGATTTGCTGGGGCTGACACACTGATGGAAAAAGGCAGTAATCCCCCCTCCCCCCAAAAAATGGAGTTTTCCAGCAAACCCACAAATCAATGCATACAAGATATGTTTACACCTCATTAACTAGGCTAGTGAGTACAAGCTGAGGGGCCAGGAAACATCAGACCACTCTAAACATTCAGTCTCAAAAATGATCTAATTCGAGTGTAAGACATCAGGGCCAGGGCTGCGGCCTTGCAAGTATCCGAGTGGGCAGGGGGATGTGGTCAGCGGGTGATGGGCAAGCCTTGGGCAGCAGGACATGATCCGGCCCGAAGGAAGGCTGGGAGGAGTCGCTGTGAGGTTTATGATGATCATTGCATTCTTATTATGACTGTCATCGTCAATATTAGTGTTTGGCCTGAGATGCACAGCCATAGGGCGCTCCAGAAAAAGAGCCCCGCCAATGGAGAGCGGCAGCTTCTCTGCAGCTTAGGGTCTGCCCAGGATCCCCCAGCCCGGACCATCTGTGGCCCCAGGGGAGGCTGGATTGAGGTCTCCTCGGCTTTGGCCTTTATCTCAATAGCAGGAAAGTAGATGCTTTCAGATTTTAATTATAAAAAATAAAGCAATGAAATTTTAAAAATATTATCCTCATCATCAAGACCCCAAAAGGCGTAGTTTCTCTCCTGCCTCTGCCCCCTACTGATGAGTCCACAATTTCATTTGGGAGGAAGGGGACACTTTGATCATTTACAAATAATGCTTGGGCACTGATGGGCCCTTGGCCCTGGCCCTGATGTGCCATACCCAGAAAACTCGCCTCTTGGCCCTTCCCTGGAATTATCCTCATTCTGGGATTTTCTTGCCTGACGCCCTCCAGGGCTCTGGGTCTTCGAGGACTCTGTTTCCTCCGGTACTCAGCTCAGGTACCACCTCCTCCCTGAAGCCCTCTCAGCTTCCAGGACCAAAGATTCCTGAATTATCTGGTATTTGTTTTTAGCGTCTTGTGTCTGTATTCATACATGTGCATGTCTTTCCTGTTGGAATGTAAGCTCCTTGAGGGCAGGAATGATTTCCCTTCTGTCTTTGTAATCCCCAGGTCTGCCATAGAGCCTGGCACCTAACAGGGGCTTGCTCCTGGACTGACAGACTCTGACGTTAGGGCTAGACTATCTAAAGTCTAGCGGACAGAGTGCTGGGCCTGGGGTCAGGAAGTCCAGGGTTCAAATCCAGCCCCGCACACTTACTAGCTGTATGACTCTGGGCAAGTCACTTAACCTTGTTTGCCTCAGTTTCCTCATCCATAAAATGGGGATAATAACAGTACACCTCCCAGGGTTGTTGTAAAGATCAAAGGAGATAATAGTTCTAAAAAACTTAGCGCAATGCCCGGCATGCCATTAATGCTGTGTGAACGTTAGAGGTTTCATGATGCTTCCCAGTCGTTTTTCTTAGTTGGGCAGAAGCGGTGCCTAGCGGGGCAGCTAAATGGTACAGTGGATAGAGCACCGGCCCTTGAGTCAGGAGGACCTGAGTTCAAATCTGGCCTCAGACACTTGACACTTAACAGTTGCGTGACCCTGGGCAAGTCACTTAACCCCAACTGCCTCACCAAAAAATAAAAAAAAGAAGGGGTGCCTAGGTTGTGAGCTCCTTATGTGATGGGGACGTTTCTCTTCTTCTTTGCCTCACAGCGCTTAGCACCATGTCTGGCACACAGTAAGTGCTTAATTATTGCTTGCTGGCTTGTAGCACCAGCTGCAGTTCAAGTTCTGGCTGACATTTCCCCCTTATCCTACCCTGGGAATCTCACTTAATCTCTCTGAACCTCAGTTTCCTGAGCTGTCAAATGGGGAAACACATGTATGTATGTATGTATGTATGTATGTATGTATGCACACACATACATATACATATACTATGCATATATGTATGTGTGTATATATATATATATACACATACACACACACACACACACATACGTGTGTGTGTGTGCGTGTATGTGTGCTTGCCTCACAAAGCATAAGCACTTTGTGAACTCCAGAGGGCTTTGAAAACACAGTTGCTATACTTCCTATCGCCAGAGGAGGCTTTAGAACGTGGGAAGGTCTTGCTGGACCTCAGAGAATTGAAACTTTCTCAAGAGAGAAAAACAAACTCTAACTTTCCCCGAAGTCCTTGCTTCTCTCTACCCAGGGAGGAGATAAATGTCTAAATGAAGGACCTGATTGAGGTCAGAGTTGAAATCAAAGCCTTCACCGTCAGCATATGGAGGCGCTGGTACCGGTCACCTTCTGTCCCCTCGCCCCACCCCCTCTGCCCCCCCTCCATTCCCCCCCCTCCTCCTGTGCCCCCCCTCCCCCCAACCCCCTCCCCCACCCTTACTCACTTTCCTCTGTTTCACCCACAGTTCCTCGGTGCTGGAGCCAATTCTCCTTAAGACTAAATTGGTGGAAAAGGGCTTTATTCTGTAGAAGAAGAGGAAAGGACAATGAAGGAGTATGCCAGATCCTTGGGAAAAGCACAGCTCCTTCCAAAAAGAGCAGGGGCCGAGGCTTTCCTTTGCAATAGGAAACGCACCCATCTAATCTCAGTGAGCACAGAGGTGGAGAGTCTGAGCCGAGCAGCCCGTCGGGGCTGGCCAAGCACTGGGGCCCCGGCTTCATCTCTGGGCGGTCTCTGGGACTGGCAGAGACCAGCCTTCTCTAGAAAGATCCCCTGACGTATCCCGAGGGGCCCTCTCCCTCGGCCCCCGCCCAAAGGCTCAACCGCCCACCATGACATCCTGATTTCCAATCCCCATATTTCCAAGAAGGCAACTGGGGCTATTTCATCATCACAGGACCCTGGCTCTGGGGCTGGAGAAAAATTCCTTCTGGGCAGCTCCGTTGTGCAGTAGACAGTGCATGGGACTTGGAGTCAAGAAGCCCTGAGCACAAATTCTGTCTCAGATATTTACCTTGGGCAAGTCAATTGACCCATCTCAGCCTCAGTTTCCTCATCTGTCACTTGGGGATGATAATTATAGCATCTACATTATAGGGTCGTTGTAAGGAAAAAAGCGCTAACGTATATATATTGCTTTGCAGACCTTAAATGTAAACGCTAGTTATTATTATCGTTGTTGTTATTGTTATTATCTAATCACACTTCTCATTTTAGAGATGAGGAAACTGAATCAGGAGAAGTGACTTGCCCAAGCATTGGAGGTGTGATTTGAACCCAGGCCCTCTTGCTCCAGAGGCAGGGCCCCTTCTACTCCATCACTCCAGCTCCCCCCACCCCATCCTCCAGATTCAGTTTGGGCAAATTTAGGACCAAGCTGTTAAGGAGGCATCTTTTATGCCCTCCCCCATCTAGACAGGGATTTATCCCAGCTGGCAGGCATTTCTCCTGTATTGGCTGACCTTCCTCAAAATCAACCAAATTGAACCCCACCAACATCTTTCTTGATCCAACAATTCCTTTCTAACCTTGAGTTAAGTTGCTCTCCTGAGTGGGTTTGCCCAGAGGTGGCATCGACTCATCTCTAGAGAGGCCAGGGGCCCGGTGGCATGTCAGACTCCACTCCCACATTGACTCAGACAGAGTCCAAGCAGGCCAGAGTCCCTCTGAGCCAAGCTCATGGGAATTCAATCTGATTTGCCCTGGCACGGGGGCAAAGGAAAGCAGGGAGCCACAGTCCTGTGGCAGCCCCAGTGGGGTCCTGTCATGCCCTAGGCAGGCTTCCTTTTAATCTTGAAGACGTGCCAGGAGAGGGCCAGCAGGGGAGGCTTCCTAAGGGGCATCCTCCTAATTCTGATGTAGAAAGTTGCCCCTTACCTTTCTGTGCGGTGAGTATTCATCCACAGTGCTGAAAAGAGGAGGCACAAGGTCAGACTTGGTTCAGAAACAGAGGCAGAGGTTGCCCTCCCCCTCCCAATCCCGTCCCCCGCCACATCAGGGTGTTGGCACTGAGAGATACCAGCCCCATCCCTGGCATACTCGGCAGTCAGCTCTGTCCTCCTACTGAGAACAGGAAGAAAAGAGGCTCAGTGTGGAACAGGGAAGTCAGAGTCAGCGCAGGACTTAGGTTCAAAACCTACTCTGTCACAACCCATCAGTGTGACTTTGGGTGGGTCACACGACTTTCTCCTCAGTTTCCTCATCTGTCAACATGAGGGGGTCGGGCTTGGGGACCTCTATGGTCCCTTCCAGGTCTGGATCTAGGACCCCGGGAGGCCCTGCCAGCACCTTTAGACCCTCCCCTTTCAGCAGAAGGCAGTGATGTGGATAATCCGAGCCAGACCCCCCAATCTGTGCTGGACTGCACTCCATCAAAGTGCTCGTTACTTATTGGCACCATCCAGCTGGTGAAATCAATTGTCTGCATTGCTTTGTGTGTGCAGAAAGGGTTTTCAAGGCAGACGCAAGAAAAATGTCCCTGCTGGACACATGGAGCCAGGCACATGCACTGAACTCTACTCAAGTGAGAAGAATGGCAGAGACATGTTGTGGGATACAGGTGCCTGAATTTCTCCTGCTGATGGCTTTGTGACGGCAGCACTGGGGGCATGGGTGAGCCAACCCATCCACTGACTTTGTAACTCCCAGCTGTGAAGTCAGAAGGGACCCTAGAAGTTCACTATTCCAACCCATTCTGCAGATGAGGAAACTGAGGTGGGGAATGATGACATGAATTAGGGCAGAGCCAGCAACGGAGGTCCTGCTTCTACTGTGCCATAGGTAACTCAGTGACTGAGGCTGACTAATGTCTGATATTAGAATGGCATTTGATGATTGTTTTTATTTTTAAACATGATTGTAGGCCTCATAGTGGCTATTCTACCTTTAAGATTTCAGCCCTATTTCCTCAGGTTGTTTGGTCATTTCCTTACATTTTTAAAGTACTCTTTCCCCCTATTGTGATAAGATGCAGAATGGAGTCACCAGGGATGAAAACTTGGCAATTCTGGTAATAACTCTCCCACTGTCCCTTCCCACCCCTGCCCCAGGCCCCCTGCCCCAAAGCCCAGAAAACAGACTGCATTCGAAGCAAGGATTATTTGGGATTAAGCTCACACAGAACACAATTTTGCCCCATAATCCTTCCACTTCCTCATGTTTACATAATAGTTTGATACCCTAGAAACAACACAGCGTGTGTGATGAGGAGCTGAAAGCTGTCAGAAGCAAGGCTCACTCTTCAGCCCCCTGTGTACCCCGACATGCTCCAAATGACTAAGGATGCCTCTGGAATGGAACAGGGAGGGCCACTGACCCGGGAAACTGACCAGATGAAATCACTGCAGCCCTTTCAGCTGGACCATGATGAATGTCATTGAAATCAAATGATGCTTTAAACTGGGATCAAAATTGCTGGTCAAGCAAGACACAGTTCAATCAATCAACAGGCATTATGATGCTGGACAGGGGGGCGGGCTAGGTGCTGGGACAAAGATGAGGCAGACCCTTCTGGCAAGGAGTCTACCGTGAGTTTTTTTTTTAAAGGGGCATCTGGGTTTGATGTGTTCTTCACAGCTCCAGCAGGGGAATTCCCACTCTTAGCATTTTAAAGCAGTATTTCCCCTCCCTTACCTCCCCGTCCCCATGTGGATTATAATGGTATCAGAAAATCTAATGATGATTTGGTGGTTTACTTACCTAGCTGACCAGGTGGGGATGGAGGGGGTGTTTAAGGTGACTTCCCTTCAAATTATTTAATCATGAACACCTAAGCACGAGGGGGATTTTTGCCAAATGAATCTTTCTAAATTGAAAATTCTAAATCTAAATTTCCAAATCTTTCTAAATTGAATATAAAGTCTCTAAAGACCCCAAAAGCTTGGGTCTTGAAGAATCTGTGACCTATTTATAAAACATCTTTTAAAAAAAAATCCACATATATCCTCAAGTAACTCCTTTCCCTCATTCCACGGTGATATCTCTGAATCACATCAAAACTAAAATTTAATTTTAGGTTAAATTTACCCCCCAAAAGCGCTTTAGTCTCATTTTAAGAAAGAAAAAAACTAGGAAAGTAGCCAAGGGTCAGCCTTGGAATCGGAACAGCTGGGGCTGAAGAAGCATCTCTTCCGCGTAGAAGTTTTGTGACTCGTCACCTCTAAGCTTACCGTGCACCTGTCTAAGACAATAAATTACAGACCTGCTCCAGGGGAGGGAGTCTCTCCCCCTGGGATGAAATCAGAGGTCTGGCCAACTCAAACAAGCAAACCTCGTTTGCAAACTGCTTCTGGTTTTGTGTTTTCTGGTTTGTTTAGGAAAGCATCAATTTTATCTACATCAGCGGCTACTTCTGTTTTGACAGGAAACCGGACAGATTCGATTTTTCTTTATTCCAAGAGACAACAAAGGTCATTATGGCTACAGGACCACAGAAAGCCAGGGGCTCATGTGGAATTCAGGGATCAGAGTGACTGCTTTTCAGTCCTCTGTCAACTTTTAAAACCCCCAATTTCCCAACTTGGTCTGTTGAGACTAATTTAAAAACGGACATACCAGAAGAGGGAAAAATGGAAAGAGGCCACTTACTGCCGTCGATGCATCCCAAGGATCTTCTGTAGCTCTTTCAGCTCCTTCTCAAGCACTGGATATTCATAGATGTCATCCAGGACATTCCTGTATATGGTCTGGACACACACACACACACACACACACACACACACACACACAAAGGCAGTTGAAATTATTTGATTAAAAGTCTTTTTAAAAATTTATGTAGTGCCAGGCATTGGGCTAAGTACTTCACCATGATTATCTCATTTGGTCCTCACAACTTCTTATTATCCCATTTTACAGATGAGGAAACTGATACAGAGTTTAAGTGACTTGTCCAGGGTCACACAACTAGTGTCTGAGCTAGGATTTCAATCCAGGTCTTCCTGATTTCAGACCTGGTGTTCTATCCGATGTGCCATGTGACCCTGGGCGAGGCTCTTAACCTGTTTGCCTCAATGTCCTCATCTGTAAAATAAGGATAATAATTTATAAAGAGCTCTTGGCACAGAGTAGATGCTGTATAAAGGTTAACTTTGCCGATGAGGAGAATGATTTGTGGACACAAAGAGGGAAAATGTAAACTCTTTAAGTACGAGGCTGGCTCTGTTAAGAGTGTTTGTATCTCCAGCACAGGGTGCCTGGCATGCAGGAGAGGCCTAATGAACGCTTGTTAAATGAATGGCATTGAAGACTTGGGGGTAGACAGCTCAGTCCTGACTAATCACTCACCTGGCCTACGGTTTATATGAGAAGAATTTCCCATACTTTTAGAAACCTTGTACTATAGAGAGCTTTATTGCCCCTCCCCAAACTGGGATTTTAGTCCACAAATACAAAAAACAAACAATCCCTTCTCTCAAGAAGCTGGCATAAACCTTGCAACATCATTTGTTGAAAAAATAAGTCCAAAACAGTAGACTTTAGTCAGAGACTACCACCTGACTCAGAAAATTTTGGCCTCAAACATCTAAACAAAAAAGCCTGCTCTCTTTGATTCCCAAATTCACATTCAATAAAAGGCTCTGGCATGGACTTTTTTCTTTAAATCAAGAATTCCAAAGGCCCTCCCACCCTTGAAGGCGGTCACTGACCATCGGAGGCCCCAGCAGCCCCCAGTGCTACCTTTAGGAACATCTTGGAGGGCTCGTCTTCAGACAGCCAGTCTTTGTACAGCCCGATCCACTGGGACACGAGATGCAAGACCTTCCGCTTTCGACGAGGCACGTCCGAGGTTTCTTCCTTGCCTTGATATTTCTTGGCAGAATAGGTGGAAAAGGTTAAAGAAAACATGTGGGCAGCGTCACATTGTGTTAAGTCCCAAAGAGGAAGGCCCTTGACTCTGAGTAGTGAGGCTCGCTTGTGGAAAAGAAAGGTACAGAAAGAACAGGAAGCACCCGTGGACGACAGGGAAACAAACGTCCCTGGAAAAGGAGCTGGGTAAGCCAGGGAAAGGTGGGGCATGGAGCAGCAGGTGATGCCCAAGAGGCCTGGCCTCGGCCAAGGCCAAGGCCTTCACTTCGGGTATGGGCCTGAGCGTCTTCACCTGCAGCCTCAAAGGGCCTGAGATGAGGGGATTTCTAAGGTCTCTTCTAGTTGCAGCCCCCGAGGCCTGGACCTGGCCTAGCCCCAATTCAACAGGGTGGAAGCAAGCAGGTCTACTGGAGTCTAGGGTGGCACGAAGGCGGGGACTCAATCTTTTTGGGACCCCTTTGGCACTACAGTGAAGCCTCTGGACTCCTCCTAAGAAAAATGCTTTTAGGGGCAGCTAGTTGGTGCAGTGGATAGAGCACCAGCCCTGGAGTCAGGAGGACCTGAGTTCAAATCCGGCCTCAGATACATAACACTTACTAGCTGTGTGACCCTGGACAAGCCACTTAACCCTACTGCCTGCCCCATCCCCCAAAAAAGTTTTTAAATGCATAAAATATATAAGAAGCCAATTACATTGAAATATAGTTATCAAAATAATGTAAAACATGGTCCCCAGGTTTAGACTTCCTGCTCTAAGAGGAGACCAGAACCCTGAATGTTAAATAGGGATCAGGGTTTTTTTTTTTTTAAAAACAAAACAAAACAAAAACCATTGGGCCTGGATCCTAAGGATTTGGGTTCAAATCCCACCCTTACATAGAACTCAGGTCACCTCAAAGAAGTCAGGCTTTCTGAGTGTTGGTCACCTCCTTAGCAAGATGAATGGGTTGGAATAGTTTGCCTCCAAGGTTCCTCACAGCTCGTAACCTATACTGCTTTGCCTAGTACAGGGAGAGAGCCCTAGCTGGGGAGTCAGAAGGCCTGAGTTCAAATCTTGCCTCCGACATCTGCGATCTGGGTGACTTTCGGCCAATCACACAACCCAGCTGGGCCTCAGTTTTCTCACATATAACAACTGACTTCTAAGGGCCTGTCTAGCTTCAGATAGATTGTAAAGTCCCGTAGCCTCCCTGGGCCTTGGTTTTCTGGCTGGGCTGGGTGGCCTTGGAAGTCCCTTCCAGCTCCAGATTTCTGGTCCCATAATCCTCTGCCCCTCGGGCTCATACCTGGGAGTGATAGCAGCGACCCTGAAAATGGCCAGCTTTTCTAGAGAGGTGAAGCGGACCATTAGTTCCATCAGGGCACAGGCCTTAGCCAACGCTTTTATCTCCCCTTGTGTTCTAGCCCTGGGCTCTGTACACAGTGGGTGTGTAAAAATGAGCATGTTTCCAAGTGCCCTTGTCTTCCCCACCCAGCGACAATCAGCAGGGCAGAATGTTGCCTGGGCATACCTGTAACCTTGCCCAGCTCATGAGAGCAGGCAGGGTTTGGTGCTCTCTGCTGGAATCGCCCTGTTTTTACGAGAGAATTCGAATCATAAAGTCAGCTTGACTCTTAGTTTGTGCTTTGTCTGCACCTTTTAATAAAATGTGGCTTCATCACAGACATGCCCCCTTCCCTCTTACCTCCTGCCCGCTCCTGCTCCCCCCTGACGCTAAACTCAGCCATTTAAACAGGTCCATTCTGGCGTGCAACTGGAGAAATCACAAAGCTGATAAAAGGTCCTTTTGGTTCCAGTGCGATGGCTAGGGGGTGAACAGGAAGAAGACACAGGCTACCTCTAATTACGTGCTTCAAATTGCCATTTTTACCCTTTGGTTTTCCTTGGAAAGGAACATCTTAATCTAATAGATGATGTTAATTAGAGGCAGTGTGGCGGAGGGGAAAGATCCTTGGTCTTGGAGTCAGGAATCCTTGGGCCGTGGATGAACAGTAGCTGTGTGGCCATGGACAAGTCACCTAACTTGGACCCAGGGACTCAGGAGAATGCTGAGTTACAAGGGAGTTGGCTGCTAACCTTCAGCTGGGGATGGAGTTTCTATACCAAGGAGTTGCTTCCACTAGTGAGACTGTGGAATGAATGCTCAGGTCCTGCCTATGGGACCAGGGTTTTCCTGATTCCCCACCCCCTCCTCTGTTCATTGGCAAGCCCTCCCTCTCCCATTACTGTGTGCCCCTTTGCACAGTCCTTGTCTTTGCTGACTTGTATGTGCTGGTAAGGTCCTAGCAGACAGGGACTATTTAATTTTGGTCTTTGCATTCAGAGTGCTGGAGAGGGCACATAATAGACATTGGTCAGGGAGGATATGATATTGTGCCCAAAGAAGAAGGAAAGGAATAACTTACAAAAGCACTTATCTTACAGGTACACACACACACACACACACACACACACACACGTATACACACACACGTACATATGCACTTATAGGTGTCTAGTGCATCTATTCCTCTCCTAATTGTACATGTGAAGAAACAGGAGTTAAATGATCTGAAAGGATCGCACAGCAGAGGCATGACCCAGACCCAGGTGTGGAGTGGTTTTCTGTTTCCTTCTCTGGCTCATTTTACAGGTGAGGAAACTGAGGCAAACAGGGTTCAATGACTTGCCCAGGGTCACACAACTAGTAAGTGTCCGAGGCCAGATTTGAACTCGGGCCAGGCCCAGCACTCTATCCATGGTGCCACCTAGTTAGTTGCCCCTTTTCCTATAAATACTTTTCTGCAAATTTAGTGTAAATAATGAGGCAATCATGGCTGACTTACAGATGACATTCCTCATCATTCTCATTGCTACCCTCAGTCCTGGGTAGGAATGATGGAAATTTAGAAGCTTTAAAACAGTTAAGATTGGCAAACATCACTGATTTTCCCACAATACCAGAAGGGGCAGGAGACTGGGGCCTCATGTGGGTCCCTGGAGACAATGCGGTGGTCAAAAGAGGCCTTCTCCCATTCCTGCGCTCACTAACACAGACTCCCCCACTGCCACTCTCCATGCTGCTCCCCACCACCCCCTACCCTATTATATCGTATAGCAGCCCAAGAAATGCTTTTAGCAGGAAAATGCTCTGAGTCGGAAACAATATACAGCGTCATGTCAGCCCAGAGATTTAAAAAAATTATGATGAACCAGAAAACATTGCTGGCCATTAGAATCTGGGTTCGTGGTGCTCCAAGGGGGTCATGTGAGTATCAAGTCACCGTCCTACAAGATCTCACGATGGGCTGAGACAGACTTCTCAGCTGTGCGTGACGGAAATGACTTCCTGAGGCGTGACCCACCGAGGAGACTGAGTCTTTCAACATCATGTCTACGTCTTGTCCATGACAAACAGTTAGTGTGTTAAATTGGGTTGTATCTGCTGTGGTTGATAACAACAACTCATATTCACACGGTCACATTGTCTACCTGGTCCAACCACACTAGGAGGTGGGTGCCGTCATCACTCTCATTTTACAGATGAGGAAACCGAGGCCCAGAGAAATGCCCCGTGACCACTTGGTGAAAAGGAAGGATGATGGGAATTGAGAGTCGTCTATTCCCACCTTCACATTTTGCAGGTGAGGAAATAAAGACCCAGAGAAAAGTCAAATATTTTGCCTGGACAGGGACAGGATTTGAACTGAGCTCCCACATTGCTGTTATTCAGATGTTACAACTGTGTCTAACTCTCTATGACCCCATTTGGGGTTTTCTTGGCACAGATAAGGAAACTGAGGCAAACAGGGTTAAGTGAATTGCCCAGGGTAACAGCTAGTAAGTGTCTGAGGCTGGATTTGAACTCGGGTCTTCCTGACACCAGGCCCGGTGCTCTATTCACTGAGCTACCTGGCTGCCCATCCTTGAACTCCTAATTTCTCACTGGGCTATGAAATGGGAATAACTTACCTCCATCAGGATACTACAGAGCAGCTAGGTGGCACACTGAAGACCTGAGGTCAAAATCAGCCTCAGTCACTAGCTCTAGGACCTTGAGCAAGTCACTAAACCATTAATAAACGTTTATTGGATTGGATGAAACCTCTCTGGGCCTCAGTTTTCCTCATCTGTAAAACAGCAGATTTTTTTTCTCTTTTTGGTGAGGCAATCAGGGTTAAGTGACTTGCCCAGGGTCACACAGCAGGTAAGTGTCAAGTGTCTGAGGCTGGATTTGAACTCAGCTCCTCCCGACTCCAAGGACAGAACTCTCTCCACTGCACCACCCAGCTGCCCCAAACAGCAGGACGTCACAGAAGTGTTGTGAGGATTAAATGGGAGAACGCGGGGAGAGTGCTTTGCAGAGCAGAGTGTCGTAGACATGCTGCGATGTTGCTCATGAATGACTCTCCCGGCATCCCGGCATCGCTGGAATTTCCCTCCGGAGCTCAGCCAACCCTGCCATTCCTACACCATGGCACCTCCACCTCCTCCCCCCAGTGCCTCCCCTTAGCCTTCTCCTTCTCAGGCTGGGCTTCCAGGCCCCGTTGTGGCCATTCCCAGACCCTCCACCTCCCCCCTTTCCACACTGCCTAGACTGTAAGCTCCTCAAGGGCAGGGACTCTTCTTCAATTTGCTTGTATTTGTATCCAGTGCGTAGTATAGAGCTTGGCACACAGCAGGCGCTTACTAAATGCTTAGTCTGTCTGTCTGTCTACCACTAACTCTAAAAACTTGTCAGGACACAACTACTTAAGTCTCAGTTTATCAAGGCTAAACACTTGCTTCCAAGGTTTCTAAGCCATTATAAACGAGCCCCACACATGACGTCATGAAATAACATCAACTGGATGTCTTCTCCATGACACGGGACATTTTGTCCTGCCACCCGCGACCAAGACTAGGTGGAACCACGATGCGTAGAGCTCTGGGCACAGGAGGCCCATACTCTTAATTAGCGGTATGACCCTGGGCAAGTCACTAGCCTCTTTCTGCCTTAGTTTCCTCAACTATAAAGCGGGAATAAGAAAAGAACCTACTTCCCCGGGTTATGGATCAAATACTGTCAGCTAAGTGCTTAGCAGAGTGACTGGCATACAGCGGGTGCTTAATAAATGTTCGTTCCCGTCTCCCATCCTGCCTCATTTTAACCTCTGGGACGAATACAGGAGCCCTTAACCTGCCCCGTGCTCCCCCACAACCTGGCTAATTGAGCGAGGCAGATGGCTTGGAGCACGAAACATCTGCTGGGACAGCGGCCTGCAAAGCGACCCACGGAGAAGGAAGGATATTGCCGCAACAGCGCCTGGCACAAGTCATCAGTGCTCATGAAGACGGTGTATGTGAGCAGGAAATCATCCAGAAGGGTCTCTGCGGAGAAAAGCAAACAGCCGAGGTGAGGGAGGCTGGCACCCACCGACCCGCCCCCCGGCGGGCCTGCCCGTTTACACGCACAGTTTTAGATCGCCTCAAGCGGGGTCCCTGCCCCACCGGGGCCCGCGGGCGTCGGGACCTGGGTCGGTAACGTCAGCGGAGGGGCTGGGGACAGAAACGAAGGACGAGCGCCCCTCTGGGAAAGGTCAGGAGTCTCCTGCATCCTGGTGGGATTCAAGCCCCGGGAAGGACTCGGGCGTCCTCGGCCTTTCCGGAGGCTGTTTGCCCGTCTATAGCAAGGGGGGCAGAGAACGAAACCCAGGGGGCTGGGAGGGGCTCTGAAGCCACTTGATGTAACGCCTGGAGCTGTAAGAGGGCTGAGCAATGACTAGGGATTTCTGATTCTTATCTTAGCCTGGCGGCACACGCCCAGTCGCGGGACCCACCCTCTTTCCTCAGCTGAAAAATTCCATCGGGCATTGATCTCTTTGCTGTGTGAACCCAGCGTGGGCCGGACACGGAGGCAGGGGGAATCTCGGCCCATTTTCCAGGAACAGACTTGAAGGGAAGAAGCAACGGCGAGCCAGGGGCCGGCGTCTTCCTGCATCCATCCAGCCCTGTGTCGTGGCATTGGGAATTCCCACCCGGATGGAGGCTGATGATTAGCTCGTCCATCCTGTCCAGTCTTAGGGGGTTTCCTAGGATGCTGAGAGTTGAAATGACCTGTCTGGGGTCACGTCCTAGTAGGTGCATCAGGCAGAGGCAGGATTTGAACTCAGGCCTTCCTGACTCTGAAGCAGGCCTTTTATACCCTCTATCACACCCCTTTTCCATATTCCCTGGGACAGTGGATTCAGAAACGGAGGGACGTTTTGTCCAATTTCCTTATTTTGTGGTTAAGGAAATTGTCCCGGAGAAGTTAATTAAGTGTGTTGGGGATGGAAGCTGAACCGGCATCTTCCTGATGTCGAGGCTGTCCTTCCGCAGCCACGATGCCCAGCTAGCTGTGGAACGCTTCTACCCGACCCTGAAAGTCTGAGGAAGTCTCTCTGCCGCGTTCACCCAGGGCTAATGCTTACCTCCAGGTCCTTTCTCTGGCGGCCCCCCCCCCCCCCCCCCCCGCCTGCAGTGGTTTCTTCCCATCTCCCACTTCTGCCTTTTGGAAACGACCATCCTTCAGTCCCTGATTCCCATCCCCACTGGCCTGGGGGTGAGCTCCCTGTCCTGCACCTCTCACGCTGCTGTCTGAGTCCCTTCTGTCCCTCTGAGCACGTGGATCACCATTCTCTACCTGGCTGGCCTCTCCCCTCCCCTGCCCCAGGTGAGGGAGTGCCCCAGGGCCCGGCAGAGGGTCCTGCCCAGAGCAAGTGCTAAGCTAGTGAGGCTCTAGACTGGTGAGCCTGGCTGACCGCTACCTGACCATATTGGAAGAGCCAGGCAAGTTTAGGCAGTTGGGGGCGCCATGGTGCACAAAGCACTGGACCTGGAGTAGGGAAGATCTGAGTGTGAATCTAGCCTCTGACCCTTACTACCTGTGTGACTCTGGCCAAGTCACTTAACTTCAGTTTACCTCAGTTTCCTCAACTGAGGATCAAATGACATAGTATTTGTAAAGTGCCTGGCAGTAGGAAGCGCTCCATAAATGTGTGTTTCTTTTGTTTTGTTTTGTTATTTTTTAGGCAATTGGGGTTAAGTGACCTGCCCAGGGTCACACAGCTAGTAAGGGTCAAGTGTTAGGTCTGAGGTGGGATTTGAACTCAGGTCCTCTTGACTTCAGGGCCAGTGCTCTATCCGCTGCACCACCTAGCTGCCCTTTAAATGCTTGTTTCTTTGGGCCTCAGTTTCCTAATCTTTAAAATGAAGGGGCCGGATGAGGTGACCTTTAAGGATCTTCCCATCTCCTGGTCTCAGATCCCAGAATTCTTTTTTTTTTAAATTTATTTTTTAATTTACTTATTTATTTTTTCCCCCAGAATTCTTTAGCACAGGACCGATCTTATCCTCATCACTCATATCCTCAGCATTAGGGAAAGGGAATAAGCATTTATGTGGCCCCTTTTATGTGCCAGGCACTGTGCTAAGAGCCTCACAAATATCATCTCCTTTGATCCTCACGTTAACCCTGGGATGTGAATGCTCTTATTGTACCCATTTTACAGGGCAGGAAACTGAGGTAGGGCAGCGGTTTAGGTCACGGAGGTAGGCCGGTGCCTGAGGCTCTTACGACCACGACCTTAGACGTAACTGGCCCACTCCACCCTGGAAGAGGCTTTGCTAATGAACTGAGCAGTCCCTGGCCCTGTGGGATGGAAGCAAATACATCTGATGTCCACTTAGACAGAGCCCTTCCCCCCAACATATGACAAATCCTCTTGTACTGAGGCCTCAGACCTCTCAATGCTGCTTTCACCTTGGCTCTACCCATACTGAATATTTAAATAAAAGCATCTGCCAAAGCCTCCATCATAAAAATTTAATTAAAAATTAAAAAAACAGGTTTTCTTTATCACTGCATAAAAATCACGAGTCTCCAGTGAAAATCCTACAGAAACACCCAGATTCCCAACGCTCTCGGCTGCAACCTTCCTCCATTTAACCACTCCACTGTTCCAACCTTCTTTTTTTTTTTTTAAATAAAGAGCATCCCTTCCCACTTGGTGAACACATCAGACATCATTTGTATTATTTTCTCTGGCATGGATTGCTGAAAGTAATTGAGTATGATGAATAAAGTCACCCCAATCAAAATAATGTACTTAAGGCATTCTCTGCCCCTAGTCTCTGCCTTTCACAGAGACAGGCGTCCTAGGTATCTAGAAATATTTTTCTAGGCAGCTAAGTGGTGCAACAGATAGAGCACTGACTCTGGATTCAGGTGGACCTGAGTTCAAACCTGGCCTCAGACACGTTAACACTTACTAGCTGTGTGACCCTGGGCAAGTCATTTAACCCCACTGCCTAGCCAAAAAAGAATAAAAAAACAGAGTTGTATAGATAGTGGAAATGCAAAAAAAAAAAGAAAAGAAAAGAAAAGAAAGAAAGAAATATTTTTCAAAGCTCAGTGGCCGCAGGGATTGGCCTCTCAAGACCATTCATCAACAAGAGCCAGCCTGGAAGGACCAGGACCCTCAACTACATCCCGACTCAAAAGCCAAAGTTGACATTCTTTTACTGCTCCTTGAAGACAGGCGTTAAACTTTGGGGGAAAAAGCAGTCTCGTATAGGAAAGCATCTTCCTCTTGAACAACTTCAATGCTCCTTCAAAAACCTAACTCTAGCCTTAATCCCAACACTCTGAATCAAAAGAGATGGGCCTGCTCCTTTGGAAAACCCAACTATCATCCTACAGGAGATCTTGACCAACATGAGATTTCTCCCCCACATGAGGCATGCAGCCTAGGTCACTGTGAAAGCTCCAAAGTCTTCAGCATCTTTAGGAGACAAATCTCCTGAAAATCTCTGTGGCCTCCATGGAGATGACTCCCACAGTGACTGCCTCAAGAGTTCTTAATGACCAGCATGTTGTCAGCACAGGGTAGAGACTGGACCTGGTACAGGGAAGACCCAGTGAAGAGTTTCCCTCCACCAAGCAGGCCAGCACCTTCCCTACACCTTACAGACTGAGAAGGCTGCCCGGAGCCCCAGGAGGGTGACTTGCCCAAGGTCACACATTCAGGATATGGCCACAATACACTTGGATCCGAGTCTTCCTGATACCAAGGCAGGCTCTCTAACCATCATGCCACACTGTCTCTCACGTTCTTACGATGTATAAATAACTCATCGATAACCCAAACACTAAAACGTGATTTTATAACCATCGCCCGCCTTTTTAACACCAATACTTGTCTGTGGTTGGCATATTTTTACAAGTCACAAAACACCATCATCTCCGAAGAATGAAAATGGAAGATCTCTCAAAGCACAATAGAGAGGCCCATGATGGGCAGGAGGCATTAACGAAACGCTGCAAACAAGACATTGTGGAGGAGGAGCAGGGCAAAGGACGTCATCAAGGAAATATTCATGAAAAAGTGAGTGGGCAGGTCAGTGAGTAAGGGATAGCATCTTAACGGGCAGCCCATAGGATGCTGACAGAAAGGTTGAAATGTCAGGAAGAAACAAGGAAGATTCCTCAGCCAGTATCTTTGGGGGACACATGAACCAGAGCTGCCTGGAAGGGAAGGGATGGCTGGGATGGAGCTACATTGTTGGAGACCACAGACCTTTGGGAATGACCATGAAAGTGGAGGCCAAGGAGAAATCCAACCCAGCCCTTCCCAGGGGTGTCCGAGGCCCAGTCATTGCCAATCTGGCTCCCAAGGTCATGTTTATGATGAGCATCACTGAGGAACAGCAAGGATTTCCTCTTATACACCTCTCCTTCCAAGGGTACTCAGGTGGTGTTCCAACATTTTTTTAGGTTTGAAGAAAAAGAAAAGACCTCACATTTTCATTTAAGAGCTTAATCATTTGGCTTTTTTTTTCCCTTTTGCTCTTAGTGAGTCAATTTCTCCTTTACAAGTTTAGGGGCTTCCAACATTGGGCAACTTCCAGCCTCCACCTGCAGCATACGTCACCCTTGTGCAGTGGCTCGGGAGGGGGTGCGACCCTGGTTAAGTCCCCTGACTACTAGAGGACAACTCAGTGGAGATAATGGTGCCTATAGCACCTGTCTGACCTGGGTTGTTGGGAGTCTCAGATGAGATAACTCATTTCAAAGTCGGTAAAATTGAAAGTGCCATGGAGGTGTCAGTCGTCACCCTCACCATCGTTATTTCTCTTGTGGTAGACTTTTAATGCTGGGAGGAACTTTGGAGGCCATTCTGTCCAACTCCCTCATTTTACAGACGAGCAAAGTGAGGCCCAGAGAAGTTACTGACTTTCCCAGTCGGGCTCATGCTGTTTGTACATATCTATGGATGGGATCTGAACCCAGACCTTTCTAACTACAAAGTCCAGGGCCCTATCCATCAGGCCCCGTTACCCCTCTGGTG